TATGCAGGGTTAAGGGGCCTGTCTGCACTATAAATTAGTTTAACTATCATTACTTCCTCATTCCCATAGAGTTTTCATTTTGAGGGGAATCTGGGGATGCTTAGCATTTTTTTTATTAAAAAAATACATATATTCTCATAATATTTAAAAAAATATTACTCCACGGTCAGGAAGCCATTGCAAAACCTTTTTAATTCACTTTGTTGCTGTAGTTGTGTTTAGTGTAGTGTTTATAGAATGGTGGTGGGTTTATTTATAGCAGGGGTAGGGAACCTTGCAGAATGCCCTCCCCAGGGAGGGTCATCTTGTGCCTTTGTTACATCTTTATGCATCAGGCAAAAATTCTTCTCCCTGGCCTTTGGCTAATTAAATAATCTATGGCCTTTTAAAATGGGGGTGGGTGGGAGGGGGAATTGTTTTCGCTTGTTATGTATTTTTGTGTTTTTATATTGCAAACTGTCCTGGATGAAGAGCTCTACAGATATGTAATAAACAAATAACAACAGTTGTAATAGCTACAGACCCACTCACAGTGATCCCCACCCCCCCCCCCCAGGGAGCAAATACCTAGACAGAGATAGGTGGAATAAACAGCACAAGATGTTCTGGGTATTTTAAAATTGGCCACAAATTTTATTGATTACAATTGTAGGTAGGGTTTGAGTGTGTGTCCATTCTCAGCCTTCAGATGGAGGGCTGACGCTTGAGCAGGGTCATGCCTGGGATTATTGGACCTCCTCAAGATGCAGTTCTCCCTAGGTGGCCCCCTGAGGCTGCTGCAGGAAACTCTAGAGCCCCTCTGTCCCACACTTGGCTCTGGACAGACTTCCATCAAGACCCCTCTAATGCGGGACCCTGAGATTGCACCTGTATGGGATAGGAGTCATGCAGCACTTTGCCCCAACCCTATGTTAGACTAAGGATTCCACCCAATGCCTTATCTGCCAAAAGTTGTGGCTATTGCTATGAGAAAGGCAAAACTTCCAAACGGGGGCAATCTGTTTGCAGGCGAATTCCTTCCTGGCTCCGAGTGTGACAACCATTAATAAATTACAGCAAGGTCAGTTAGGCGGTGTGAAGGAAGGGAAATGGGGTTAGCATACAAACAGCCACAACATAACAGTGTGGGAGGGAGAGCTCCTCTTTGGCCGACCGCAGTCCCAGCTTATGTATTTCCGGGTGGCAGGCCAGAGTGAAAACTACTCCACATCCAGGCGCCACCCCCTTTGGCCTACCACACAGGCCACTTCAGATTTAGTGGCTAGTGGGCTTTCCTGTCCTCCCTTGTGGATGGCCAAGTGGGAATCCACAGTGGCTGGCCCATGCAGGGGTTGTTTGCTCCACAAAGGTGAGGGCCTGCTGCGATGGGCTGCAGCCTCTGCCCACTCCAATACTGGGTAAGCAGTCATTATTGCTTGCAATCAAGAGTGGAAATTAGAGCGGCACTGAATTTGACTGAAACAAGTTTGGCTGAATTTCTGACAGGAGATAATTTCACCCCCTACCTCCCGCCCCCCAAAGCCGCTGAATATTTTGTGACCTTTGGGGATGTTTTTGGAGGGAACTGCAGCCTTACAGTTGGTTTTTCACTCTCTTTGTGGGTTAACGAAAAGAAGACTTACTCCCATCACTAGTACTTGCCACAGTAAGTGCCCCCTTTCCAAGCATTGCCTTGAAATGCTTCACGTGCCAGACATCAGGCCTTATTTCTGGAGGCACCCTTTGTTAAAAAAAAAAAATCAGCTGAACTTTTCTATTCACACTGCATGTTTGTAATCCTTTTGATGAGGTAGAACTTGATATTTAAAAAGTTGACAGCAAGTGTGCAAAACTATGATGGACAATTTTATATCTGTTTGGGAGAGATTTTGCTCCACATGAAAATGAAAGCGAAATTATGTGAGTGGTTTTGTTTGACCTCTAATAAAAAGAAAAGATCAATAAGGTATCCTTTATGTACCTGTGCTACAGTAGAAAACACCTTTTCGATCTAGCAATAATAACTGTTCCTTGTAAAATGAAATGAATGTAAGTTCTGAGATTGCATTTTACAATGACTCGACTTGCTGTTCAGTAGGTGTCATGTGTACGCCATGCTATCCTGCTTTCACAGGTTCAAACATACAAATAATTATTTGATTGTTCAAGCATATAATTCATCCCAACAATAGCCAGAAAGAAGTCTTCAGTTAAGTCCTATTCAGAAATCATTTCCATGCGAATTTTACTGCAAGGAGAAAGTGTGTGTGTGTGTGTGTGTGTGTGTGTGTGTGTGTATACACACATGTATTATGATCAGTGTATTTGAAGAATCATAGTAGTAAAGAAGTGATCGTATGCCACAAAGGAAAAAATAAATTTAAGAAACAACACAGGTGTTTGCATTGGGAAACCCTGATTTGTATAATTATAGCTTTCTAATTCAGACACGTCCTTTCCGAAATCCAGAAATAAGAAATATATTCTAATCATGATAACATCTCAGCATCAAAAATCTTAAACTTTCCTGAAGAAACATCTAGATTAATGAAGAAATCATTATTGTAAAATATGCTTGAAGGCCAACAATTGTAACACTAATCAGTGCAGGTTGTATGGTGGTCATATGTCCAACTCTGCATATGATAGTTCTTTCTTTTAAGAGTTGTCCTTCCCAAGTCCAGTTTAATGGTAAGAAGCATAAGGAGGGAGGGCAGAGGTCTTGAAGCTGCCCATCAAAAATTAGCAGCATGGCAGAAGGCTGAGCAGGCACTTATATCACCTACATTACAGTGAGATAATTTGTATTTCTTTTTTGTCTGTACACTACCTGCATATTTGCACTAGCGCCTCCTTCCAGTAACTCCTGCAGCCAAGCTGCAGGAGCGAAAGCGGAGTACAGAGGAAAAATTGAGGACCATCTGAGAAATCATGATACTAGACAAATGTGGCAGGGAGTCCAACATCTGACTGGTTATAAATCAAGGAATTCATCAGTGGTAGAGAGTACTGCTTCCTTGGTGGGAGAGTTGAATACCTTCTTTGCCCGATTTGAGGTGACACCAACAGTGACTCCAACAGGGATGCCAGAGCTACCTACAGGAAATGCTGCCAGGGTGGAAGAGGGAGAAGTGAGGCGAATATTAAAGGAGGTAAAGGCGAGGAAGGCTATGGGCCCGGATGGGGTGGCTGGCAGGGTGCTAAGAGATTGTTCGGACCAACTGGCAGGAATTTTACGAAGATTTTTAACCAGTCTCTGGCCCAAGCCACTGTTCCACCCTGTCTGAAATCCGCTACCATTATACCCCTGCCAAAAAATCAAAAATAGACAGTCTGAATGATTTTCGCCCTGTGGCGCTGACACCCATTATAATGAAATGTTTCGAAAAACTGGTGAGGAAGCGCATCTTATCTTGTCTGCCAGTGGGACTTGACCCTTACCAGTTTGCGTACAAGGCAAAGAGATCCACAGAGGATGCTGTGGCAATGGCTTTACATGCTGTCCTGACTCATTTGGAGAAGCAAGGGAACTACGCGAGACTGTTATTTGTAGACTTTAGTTCTGCATTTAATACTATTCTTCCGCATAGATTGGTGCCCAAATTATTAGACCTGGGACTTCCACCCTGTTTGTGCAGGTGGATATTAGACTTTCTATCAAACCGTTCCCAAAGGGTCAGGTTGGGTTCCCACGTCTCTGCGGATCTCATCACGAATACGGGGACGCCGCAGGGGTGCGTGTTGAGCCCGCTTTTATACACGCTCTATACAGCGGACTGTGCCCCCAAATACCCCAGTAATCATTAAGTTCGCAGATGATACAACGGTGGTTGGTTTAATTACGGCTGGAGAGGGGGAGACGGCCTATAGGAAGGAAGTTGAGCAGTTGGGGGAGTGGTGCAGGAAAAACAACTTACTGCTTAACTTAAAGAAAACAAAAGAGATCATTGTGGACTTTAGGAAATGTAAATCGAATATTCAGCCACTTATTATTGAGGGGAAGTGCGTGGAACAGGTCTCAGTGTTTCGATTTCTGGGAATGGAGTTGAGAGACGACCTAACCTGGGGAGAGAACAGCAAAGACCTGGTGAAGAGAGCACAGCAGAGGTTATATTTTCTGAGAATCCTCCGGAAAAACAATCTCTCAAAGGACCTGTTGATGGCATTCTACCATTGCACTGTGGAGAGCGTACTAACTTATGGTCTGTGCGTGTGGTTTGGGAGCTGCACGGCCAGGGAAAAAACAATGCTATCCAGGGTTGTAAAGACTGCAGAGAGAATTATTGGGTGCACTCTTCCCACCTTAGATCAAATCTATGCTGCCAGGTGCCATAAGAAAGCGGCAGAGATAGCACATGATAGTACGCACCCCGGAAATGATCTCTTTCAGCTTCTGCCTTCTGGAAGAAGGTATAGGGTTATAAAGGCCAGGACTAGCCGCCTGAAAAACAGTTTCTACGCTAATGCAATTCTGGTTCCAAACGCAGCATAAAGTGTCTCTGTAGTATAGTGTATTTTAAAATGGGGTTTTAGAGTTTTTAGGGGTTTTTGAATGTTTTATGTAGTTTTATGTAGTTTTATGTAGTTTTATGTAGTTTTATGTAGTTTTGTGGTAGTTTTATGTAGTTTTTATGTAGTTTTATGTAGTTTTCAATCTCATTGTTCCGTAAGGGACAATGACAATAAAGATATCGTATCGTATCGTATTGCTCTGCTTTCCTTTGCACCACATCAGTGAGGCTGGGGGGGGGGTTGTCTGGACAGCCCAGGACTTCCATACATACTTGTGCCCCAGGAAGGTCACTTCACTGTTGTCAACACAGTGGTTTGACTTCACCCTTGGATGTCCATTCCATTGTATCTCAAGACAGACAAAAGTCAACAACAAGAGGACACGGCATGACTTTCAGCCATTATATCTTTTTAGATTTATACATACTTTCCCCTTCTGATTGTTTTCTGCAGAAAATATATTTCTAACACATCGTGTCTCTGTCCTTGTTGTTTTTAAATACTTTAAGGTGTGTTGTAATGGGATTCTGCACAACAATACAGCAGGTTTCCGGTGCTGTGAAGACAAATACATCCCAGTTATGCATAATACATCAGGTGTTTGCTGTGGCGGTCAGGTGCATGCTGTGCAACCGGAGCATCAGTGTTGTGGTGGCTATTACACAAGAGTACTAGCAGGTAAGAGGGGGAAATAATGCAAGAATTTGACATAACCAATCTGCACAGTTGTCTTTCAGAAGAATGAATTTGTATTTGTGCGTAAATTTTAGAAGAATAATATTTCATAGGATAAGAAATGGAATAGTGCTGTGATTTTTGCCCAATGTTGGAAAAGCATTCTATGCTCATAATGATACTGTTGAATGGATGAATACATAAAATACCTACACACTTTTGTGTTAGGCATTTGTTACCTAAATAGCTTTACAATGGCTGAATATGTGAACAGGATGAGAATTGAGAGCTTGGTGTTGGTTGAGGAACTATGGGTTCAAATCTCCACTGAGCCATGATGTTCACTCAGAGATCTTGGGCCAGTCACCCTCACTCCATCTAATTCTAGTGGGGAGCAGGTGAGTGCAAAGTTAGTTTTGGCTCACCACGACATACTAAACTAATTATATTTTTATTGTGAGTATACACCATCCTATAACAAGCTCACTGCACAGCTTGCCACAAAACAGAATGGCTTCCAAGTGTGACTTTTCTCCACACAGTGCAATCTGACACTGCAGAAAATGGGTTAGCTCTGTCTTATCTGCCCATATAGACATATACCCAATTCCTAATTAAAAGCTGTATATATTTAAGGGTGTGGGGGTGGAATCAAGATCCAGTATTACATTCCTTATTGTATATTGTCAGAGTCACTAAATACTCTGGAAAATGGGGTGCTGTATAGTATGAAATCTGTTCCATGATACATTTTTCCCCCAAATTTAAGCTTGCCAAGAAAGAAACATCTTTTTTTCCCCCTTTGAGCAACCCTCTTAATATTATTTGCAATTAGGTTTTTGACACATTTTAAAATAGGGCAAGTACGGTAGCCCAAAGAAAGATTTCTACCGGATGTTTAGTGCACAAAACTCTTTGCAGACAACTGTGAGGTCAGCAGCTAAATTGACTGCATTACCCATGGGTTGGCAAACACTCCCTGTGCTCAGAAGTACTTTGAATTTCAGCCAAGCTATGCAGCACATCCTAAATTCCAGTGCCTTCAGAAGCCATTCATATATCACAATATGAGAATGCCTCCCATGATGTCATCCAAAAGGGGGGGAAATGCTGTCCCAATAAAGGAGAGTCTTTTGGTGGCCTCATTAATCTCAATGTACTAAAATAAGAAGATCGTTGTCTGTGACCTCTAGACCCATCCGGTGGTCTCTGTTAACTAGCTTAATGCTGTTTACATAAGGACAGAAAAGTACAGTGGTGCAAACCATCTTGTTTCTAAAAGAAGCTCAAATTCAATTGGCAATTGTTAAGTTTCAAGCGGTGAATATTTCTAAACCGTTTGCCAGCAGTTGTTTTTTTTAAAGATGTGGTTTCCGCTTTCTTCTTCCCCCTTGTTTCTTAAGTGCAGCAACAAGAACAATATTGGTCACTTTTCCCCTCTCTCTCTTTTTATAATTATGCTAATAACCCCAAGCGAAATGTTAATGTGGGTCATTTTTTGATAAGGATAACAATTAACTGGTAAGACTGCATGGTAGTTTCAGAGAGAAAACATTTTCAAGCTTGGCTTGGAATGGATCCCATTTTGAGAGGTTAATGAGAAGGTTACTGATCCTTTGTGTCTTATGTCTAATGGTCCTTTTATAAAATAAAAATATATTAAAAAATCTGTATTATTTCCAATTGATGTAACTTACATACCCCGTTGAAGGCCTTACTCTGTTCAGTCATGAAATTAGATTCTGAGGAGAGCAGAGAAATGTGGTTAAGTATCTAAACTGATTATATCTCTTACACTCCAAAGGTTTGCTCATGTCTTTTTTGGTTTATTATTGACTTTATTTGATAAAGATATTTATACAGGGCACTCTTGGCATGCATGCCTTCCAGATGTTGTTTGGCCACTTTTAATAATGTGAGAGATGAACTTAAGTCCTTTGCTACAAGCATGAAGCTTAGAACTCAGGAAAGGAGTGGTAGTGTTATCTTTGAGGAAAGAAGATAAGGATATGAATCCCAAAGCAAAGATGGGAAGGGGTGAATTTCCAAACTATAATAAAGTAAATAATGCTAGCGCTCATCACACTTCTCTCTCTCCCTGGGGTTTTGTGGAGAAAGTGAACAATGTTCTTTCCTGAATGTCATCTGAGAACATCGTAGCTAGCTTCCAGCAAGGTGACTTATGCCTCAGATTGCATGCACACACTAGTGGTTTTGGACAGTTCCCTTTTCAAAACTCCCCTAATAGAACTCCAAGTGGCATATTAAACTTGAAGAAGATCCAAATATAGTTGATGCAGAGTACTTCTGAAGAGGAAACTTAAGTGAAAGATAGCTGGTTCACATGTGGACCACAGCATGCATGACTTTGGATGTGTGTACAATTGTATTTTTCTGAAAACGACTACCTAAATAATTTTCAGAAACAGGAGTACCTGGCGTGCTCTGGTCCATGGGGTCACAAAGAGTCAGACAGGACTAAAGGACAACAAAGAATTTTCAGAAATGGAGAAACAGAGCAATTATAATTAGGTGCCCTGTGCAGTATTCTAGCAATGATTCATTTCAACACTAGTAGTATCACTAGCTTGTACATGCCCAATCTAGTACAACTTGGAAACCTGCTTTGAGGGGCTTTAATAATTCATGACAGAATTAACACCATTTGAAAACCATAGTAATATCAAATAAAAAGAATTTTACTTTTTTAAAAAGTTTACCAAATCCCAGAAATCCCGGGTCTCTCCTAGCTATAGTATCTGAAGTTCTTCAACATGGGAGATACTGCAAAAATGCTCTCAGGCAAAATGTAGCGCATGGTAGCAATTGTGAAGTTATATATACAGGGCACGGGCCATCTCTTTTGACAGAAAAGCCTTCCTCTCTCAGCCACACCAATCCCTTTTCCTTTTTTCCTAGCCCTTTTTTCTCTCATCTTTGTTAACTTGTCCACCAGCCCTGTCCTTTTCCTTCACAGTTAACCTACTTGTGATACTGTAAACCTGTTGGACAGGAATGATATTATAGGTGTTTCCTTCTAATGTATTACACTTTTAGCTAAAAGCTTAACATGCAAGGGCATTTTCACCCTTCACTGAAATAGTCTAATGTGCAGATAACTGTATTTGCACCCATCCATTCTTTGCCTTTTTTGTCCTTCCTCTCCTTTGTTATCTGCTACCCTGTCAAATGTTAGATTGAAAGCTTAAGAATCCCTTTGCTTATGCTAAACCATACCATTCTATGTACATTGATGCTGATGCGTAAATAATATTAACGCATATCTACTACTGCTACTGCCAACATCAACAAATAATGGAATGGATTATGTAGATTTCCATACTGTGTTTAAATCTACAGGAGAAGTATGCTGCCCAGATGAAGAACAAAACTGGGCCTCTGTTGGGATTGGGGATTCCTGCTGCCGGGGAATTCCTTATTCCACATCAGGGAACCAGATATGTTGCGGTGGATCTCTCCATGATGGCTTCAGTCAGCAATGTTGTGGGGGACAAATAGTCAGCAAAGACCTGATGTGTTGTGGTGATGAAGAAAAGGGGGAAATCCATCTACCTAATACAGGTACTCTCTTAAATTGTTGCAGAAATATACTCTGTTCTCTCTTTTTTTGCTATTAAAAACTTAAGAAAGGTTCGTCTTCCCAAAATGATTATTCCATCTAATAGAAGAAAAGAGACCTGGATACTGAACTGCTTTTAGAAGACACTTTGTGCTCTGCCCCTGTGGAACTAAATTGTTCAAAAGAGGTTGGCGAGAATAATGGGCAATATTAAAAACAAGACAGAAGTGTGCTTTTAAGTTACTGCATTCTGCTGCTAGCTTGAGGCCTGCCTCAGTGTAAAGGACTCCATAGGCACCACACTTGTAGGAAAATCTGTTTCAGCTGCCTTTCACTGAGTCAGACAATTGCTCATTTTAGGGCAACCTTCCCCAACTTGGTGCCCTCCAGATGTTTCAGGCGCCAGCCAAAATAGTCAGTTTTCAGGGATGGTGGGAGTTGTAGTCCGAAACATCTGAAAGGTACCAGGTTGGGGTTACTTGACATAGGTCAATGCTATGTACTCCAACTGGGGCACCACATTTCTTCACTTTTCTACTTATGTATTTCTGGTCTTGTAAAGGTGCTTCACTGAAAGCAAATTGAGAGGGACAAGATTGCACCCACTTGCTACACTTCTACCTTCCATTCATTCCCACTGATGGAGATTATTAGGGATGCTGGGATTTGAATCTGCTTTATCACTAAGCCTCTCTCTGTGTGTTTATTATTGTATTTCTTAGTAACATTTTTCTTTCCCGACCTGTAAATGTGGTAGGTTAGGTTAGTAAAGATAAAGAGACTGGCCCAAAATCACCCAGTGAGTTTCATGGCTCAATAATACAGTCTGGGTGTGGACCCACTGCTCCCCTATATGCATTCAGTGTGATAATCCAGTACGTTTCCGAGCACAATTCAAAATGTTGGTGCTGCCCCTTAAAGCCCTAAATGGCTTCAGTCCAGTATATCTGAAGGAGCGTCTCCACCCCCACCTTTCTACCCGGACACTGAGGTCCAGCACCGAGGGCCTTCTGGTTGTTCCCTCACTGTGAGAAGTGAGGTTACAGGGAACCAGACAGAGGGCCTTCTTGGTAGTGGCGCCCGCCCTGTGGAACGCCCTCCCACCAGATGTCAAAGAGAACAACTACTACCAGACTTTTAGAAGACATCTGAAGCCAGCCCTGTTTAGGGAAGCTTTTAATGTTTGATGTATTACAGTATTTTAATATTTTTTTGGAAGCCACCCAAAGTGGCTGGGGAAGCCCAGCCAGATGGGCAGGGTAATAATAATAATAATAATAATAATAATAATAATAATAATAATAATAATAATATATTATTTATTATCTGCACTCATCTTCTAAATTAAAATTGTGCAGTTATGTCCTACTTGAAGCAAATGCTTGATATATACATAATAGCATAATAGCCTTGTTTTCACAGGGCCAACCAGTGTGGGATCTGTGACGAGCAACAACATTCGCCACACCTGTAATTTCCAGCAAGTGGTATGCAGAAGCATACTGTTGCCTTTAACCATAGAGGTAGAACTTATCCATCATGGATAGCAGCCATTTATAGCCATATCTTTCCCAGTCTGCATCTTTATTGGAATTGTTTTTAGATGTTTTAACATTAATGTGTTTGCTGCTCTGGGCTCCTTTGGGAGAAAGGGCAGGATATAAATTAAATAAATAAATAAATAAATAGTTAAAGAATAAGACGAGAGCCCATTAACCAGCCAGCCAACTTCTCCAGAGAATTGGAGCCCACCACACTTTAGATTGGTTACCCTCAATACATGATCACAGAAGCCAGACTTTTATATGCATAAAGATGGAAAAAATCATCATTACCTACCATGGAGGAATGGTTGTCAAAATTATTGGACTTAGCTGAGATGTGTTTAATCAGAGAAAAATCATTGTGTATATTTACTAAAAACATTATAGACTTTTTGCGCGAAAAAGGAAAAGTAACTTACGATATGGTTTGAGGGTTGAAGAAAATATTTGTTTATAGAAAGCTGAATTGTTGCGTGTTATCTTGGAGTGTATGCTTTGAACTATTTTCTATATATAGCTGACGGACAAAGAATTGGAAGTTCTCTTTTTTTCTTTTTGGTTTGTGTATTTATTTTGATTAATTTTTAATCTTTGATTTTAAAAGGTATTGGATATTTGATATTAACCTTTGTATTCTTTTTCAAACTTCCGTAAAATCTATTTTAAAAAGAAGATCTGGTTACCCTACATAAGACTTGGCTCTAACTACCTGCAGAGACAATCTTGTAGCTGTCCAAGGTTCTGTTTCTGTGTGTTCACTGCTTGATGGAATGCTACCAGCTTTCCCTGTGAGCTTTAAGCTCCCATGGAACTGGATATCTAGCCTACTTTACAGGGCTGCCACGAGGATAAAAGAAGCTGGCAGCTGTGTGACAAATAAATGACAATTAAATAAAAGTAGTTGTCTCCCCTACATTCCCTTCCCTGATAAATTAATGACTGATCAGCATTGTTGTGATAAACTGACTGGTGCCTACCCCACCAGCATTTGAAACCTCAGTTCCAAGCGATGCAGGAATAACACATTATCCTCATGTTTCTCCTGAACCAAGTCCCTTTCTATAGCAGCACATTGTGTGGCTGCCACAAGAAAGGGCTGGCTCGTAAAGCATCTCTTTATGTACTTTATTACTTAAACTCTTTTTATTTGCCTGCAGGAGCCCTTTAACAAAATCACATTGAATTGACTTTCTCACACCAAATCAAATCTCCCTGGTCCCAGTTCAGTTGTCTTTGTCAATATGTATTTTATAAATGGAGTGAATTAACAGATGCTGTTGGAAGAGAACTGCTGGGGTAGCATTTATGTTTTTACTACTCTCTCTGGGCAGATGAGTTGTGTAGGAGTGTAATACAGGTACCTTGGGATGAAAGTCGTGTTCTTCATTTCATTGTGTATATAGATAGATATATGTGTTCTTAAACTGCTTTTCTCAAATTCATGCATTTGTAGATGGAAAAGGTTTAAAAATGTTTTCCTTTTTTAGCTTTTTCAGGCTTTGCATATTGTGCATTCACTTTTCAACATGAATTTGTTTTTTAAAGGCACAGTAGTGGTTTTCAGCATGTACAGGTAGACTAAAAGCAATAAACCTTTTAATCAGGTTTAATCAGAGATTCGCTAAGTTGCATGCTTATCTATTTTAGAAAATGTCAACTCTGCCTTTTGGCCCCCAAGATTTCTACCCCAGCATGCCTTTCTAAAGGAAAAAACACACAACAATTACATTTGAAACAGTAAAACAAATAAAAACAGCGATCAACTTCAGCAATCAAAGCAGTACCAAGAGAGGGACATAAAACAACTGGTTTGAAAAATGCAGTGCCACAGCATGTGTGACCAAAAGTCTTTGCTACCAATCTAAAACTCAGAAGGGGAGAGGGTCAGCCAAACCTCTTTCAGGAGGGAGTTCAATAATCTGGGTGCTGAGAAGAAACCATACCTCTGAAGGTGGCAGAACATGGAAAAGTTGCTGGTAGTTGAAGCGCACAGGATGGTTTATTCAGAAAGAAGCAATCCTTCAGATAACCTCATCCTAAGCTACTTAGGGCTTTATAAGTAATAATAATTAGCACCCTGAATTGTTTCCAGAAACAAATCAAAATTCAATGCAAATGAAAAAACTCAGTTTTTAATATGTATATCTATTGAGTACAAACATCTTCTGTCTCAAATTTATTTATTTTTGACATATTTTTACTCAGCTTTTTAGGACAAGGAAGGTGGTTCACATTAAAAATGTATGTGATTGAACAAATGTAATAAGAACAGCATCAGATTGTCATAAAACAAATGACTCTTCTCACACATAGTATTAACTGTGTATTTAATATGACCCTCTGAATATGGAAAGTCTAACCGAAGACCTGGGTTTGGAAAGCAGGTTGGGCCAGTATAATTCATTGTGAGCTATTCTGCTTCTTTGAGGAGAAGAAAGGACACAAAGAAAAGCTTTGTTTCCATGTATAATTGGAAATGTATTTTTTCCGATTTTGTGCCTTTGTTTTCTTTTATTTCCTCCAGTGTTAGAAACAGATATGAAAGCTAGGAGCTAAATGGCACCTTAAACCTAGGTTTATGGGTACAACAACAGAACGTCTAGGCACTTTTTTTTATAACTAGAATACAAAGCTGAAAATGAATGAACTGCAGCTACAATATTATGTTCATTTTTCACATGGTCCCTCACCCCCCCCCAATATTCTTAAGAGTCTTCAGAGAGTAGCTGGGAGTGGTCCTCCTTTCCTTCCACTCTGTAGAAGGAAATCTTAGGCGCAGTACTGCACCCAGAACTCAGGAACTGCTTGCACTAAAGAAATTTCCTGTCACAAAATGCACCTAGAACAATGGGAGTTTCGAACACTGATTTCTTCTTCTTCTAGCACAGAGGCTTCTACCACAGACAGAGACATCTACTGGTTTCTTTTGGTGGTTATGTTACTGCATGTTGTTCAGAATTTCCTCAAGGAATTAGCATCCATGCATGGTTGTGTTTGTTTAGAGTCCATCCAAAATGTTCTCATGTTTACTGGAAGCCATAACAACAAGAAGCAATGTCATTATTATTTTTTACTCTTTCCTTTCCTAAGTAACACCCTTTATAATGTCAAAATAAAACATTCAGTTACAGTGACCAGCCATAATATTCTAGTTGAAGGAAATAGTTCAAGTAGTCATTCGCAATGAACACTGATTCTCTGATTTGGTTATGAAACACTAAGCCTACAACCCTAAACACACTTTCCTGTAAGTAAGCCATATTGAACACAGAGAGACTTCTGAGTAAATGTGAAAGAGAGTTCTGTTGGCTTCATGCAGCACAAACTTGTGCAAGTTTACTTGCAAGGAAAGCCTACAGCATTCAGTGTAAGTGTGCCACCTTAATCTTTATTTTCTTCTTCAAAGTTCAACCATTTTGCTGTTTTGCTGGGTTAGTACTACTGTACATGGACCTTTCTGAGAATTTTTTGAGGGATATTAAATAATTCTTGACAGGTCAAGGAGTGTCTTAATGGGGTTTGTGTGTTTCTTTCCCTTCTACTTACATTAGCATTGCATATGCCTCCGGAAAATACTTCTATTTTCTAATTTTTGGCAAATGCATATTTATTTGTGTGTGTCTGTGTATGCACAATTTGTTGGAAGGCAATTCTCCCTCTTTAAGCAGTTGATTGAGGTGATGTATTTGAAAGGTAAATCAATCCATCAATAATATATGGGCCTATTTTCCTTTCCCTTCCCACCCACTGCCCCACTGTAGGCATGTTTTAAACTGTACATTCTCAGTGTCAAGGTTCAAGAGTCAAGTGCTACATGTGATAAATTAGGCTGAGGTCAAAGGCTATACAGTGAGGTTTCAGAGGAATGTCTATTTCTGAATTTGCAGCTCATTCATGCTGAAGTGATGCACTATGGGAATTACTACCAAACTCTGCTCAGCAACATCTGCTCTCCCTAAGTGAGTTAGTGCACGTCAGACATCTTTATGTCAGAATATTGCAGTGATGGATGCAGTCTTCAGAAAATGCTGCATAAAAATCTGGTGTGCCGTTCTGGCCATTAAGTGAAATTACTATTTAAATTAATGGCGCTGTCACAGTTTATCTGTGCAAAGAATGAACGCTGATTAGGGTATTAAGTAATTAGCAATTTATCACGCTGGAACAAGGTTGATAATAATTAAAGAAGTAATGGTTTACCAAAGAAACTAGAAAGGGAGTCACTTCTTGTTATGTGAGTGAAATCTTGGCTGAAAAATTTAATTCAGTGAAACAAAGATGAGACTCTTGGTGAAAGAATGCATCTTTCTTTTTCTCCCCTAGAGTAAAAGTGGTTAATCATCAACATTTTACTTTGCTTGCCAATAGTGGCTCTGAGCTAAAACATTTGCCTTTGTTGTTTTTTTTTAAAAAACAACCACACACACAACACTATCCAAAACAATATGTGATGCAACCACAGTCTTGGCTGGGGGACAGGAAGGTAACATTAAACTTCAACTCATTATCACATGGTTAGGCCTAGCCTCTGAACATATGAGACTCAATGATTGCTGCAAACAGACACTGCTGTGTCCTGTGCTAGGGTAGGGGGATGGATGCTGCAAGAATATTGTTCAGACTCTGCTGCTTTGTTGGTCTTGATAACCCATCGGTGGGTGTGATATTATCCTACTACACAAAGTCGTTAGATCCACAGAACTGTATCGTAAGGCAGAGGCTGAAAAGGGAGGATAAGTCTGGAACAATTCACTTACACAACACCCTGCTGTCACCATTGTCAGCGCAATACCGAGTGCTTCATGTTTAATATTAAACTTTCATAATAGAATCCAACTGACGGGCAGAATAGGAGGATGGATTTGGTCCTCTCATAAATAAATCATCTCTGCCTGGCACTGCATGTTTGTAAGATTGAACAGTTCTACTTTAAAAATTTGACCCTGACATGAAACCATTTACTATCCTACAGACCCCCAGTTATTTGAACGTAACTAACCCTATGAGCCCTGTGCTATAGCCCCAGCTAGGGTGGTCCTTGCAGTATAATTATCTTAAGAGAAGCCTCTCTATGAAATGTATGTTCATCCAGTTTACTGTTCAGAGATTACTAAATATGCACTAACATCCCAGGATTTATTTCTTGATAGTATCCTGCTTCATCTTATGGAACATGATTACACAGCTGCCCCAGGGAAGCCAGATGGTATCACTCCAATAAGTCTCTGCTGTAGTAGAGACACAGACAGCACCCTGGCACAAACTTCATTCAGACCCCTGACTCCTGTCTACTTTGGAGAGGGACGGACAGATGGGGTGGGGGGGTATCCCACAGGTACCATTCTTTTTCTAGCAAGGCTTTGGGAACTGGAAGCTGCGTATTCCGATTAAAATTATTTTACTATCTAGTCCAGTATTATCTACGTGCTCCAATGGGCAGTGACTCTCCAGTCTCAGACAGACAGAGCTGCTTCCTATCACCTGCTACCTGATTCTTTTGAACCTGAGATTAAACCTGGGATCTTCTGCATGTGTAGGACCCCTTCCCCATCAGATGCTCATGACCTTTAAATCTTTGCTATCCTATCACCAGCTTCTCTCCAGTTTAATCTTCTAGTAAAGGGACCCCTGACCATTAGGTCCAGTCGTGGCCGACTCTGGGGTTGCGGCGCTCATCTCGCTTTACTTGCCGAGGGAGCCAGCTTCCAGGTCATGTGGCTTCTGGCGAACCAGAGTAGAGCACGGAAACACCGTTTACCTTCCCGCCAGAGTGGTACCTATTTATCTACTTGCACTTTGATGTGCTTTTGAACTGCTAGGTGGGCAGGAGCAGGGACCGAGAAACGGGAGCTCACCCCGTCGCGGGGATTCGAACCGCCGACCTTCTGATAGGCAAGTCCTAGGCTCTGTGGTTTAACCCACAGCGCCACCCACCATGGAAGCAGGTTCACAGCAATTTGTCACAATTCACTCATTTCTAGAACAAAACCTATTTTCTTGTTTTTTCCACAGAAGTGAAGAAACTGGTTTAGGGGCCAGTCGTCACTACATTTTGTTTTGAAATGTCGAACGTTCACACCATGTGGCATACGTAGTTGTGCACTGCAGATGTTAACAGCTTCTTTCTGTAGTGTATCTGCAAGCAGAGGCCCATGTCTTTCCTTATCACTGGAATTAGCTTCTGAACAAAGGCTTTACCAGTTTAGTCATCTTAAATTCAAAATTAAGTACCACTTTAGTTACCTTTTCCCTTGTATCAGTAGCTGCCTCATTCAGACATTTTTATGTTGTATTTTATAGCATTCTCTGTACTTTCCCCCACTTTCTCCCCTTTTCACATTCATATATAATGTTTTATTGTTGCAGGAATGTTCTGTTGTGGACATGAATATGTGAATATGTCAAGTACCATATGCTGCTCAGCTTCCAGTGGTGAGTCTAAAGCCCACATTAAAGAGAATGACCAAGTGCCATTAAAATGCTGTGAGGCTGAACTTATTCCAAAGAGCGAGGAATGTTGTAATGGACTTGGATATAATCCTTTGAAATATGTTTGCTCTGACAGGATTTCAGCTGGAATGATGATGAAGGTAATTGATAGAAAACCTCTTGGTGGTTCTGATTTGACAATGGAAAGAGAAATACATTGTTCATAACTATTTTTGTAAAATAGGAATATAAAAACTCCTGTGTGCATTATTCATTTTCACATTACATCCATATTAATACCGAATGAGTTTGCCATGATTGATGTTATTGCAGTGAATTCTAAAGGAATTAATAATGATTAGCTGCTTCTTGTGATGTGTTGCTCAGCACTTCAGATTAGTCCAAGGGCTGAAAGTTAGTATTCCAACTGGGCTGGGTTGTGTGTGTGTAACTACCTTCAGTTGTGTTGCCAGTTCTTAATTCCTGCTGGCACTACTTCGTATAGCCTTAAACTTTGGTGCATCATAGACTACTATCCTATTTTTGCAGATCCCTAATTTTATTATAGGGACGCGGGTGGCACTGTGGGTTAAACCATAGAGCCTAGGACTTGCCGATCAGAAGGTCGGCGGTTCGAATCCCCGTGATGGGGTGAGCTCCTGTTTCTCGGTCCCTGCTCCTGCCAACCTAGCAGTTCGAAAGCACGTCAAAGTGCAAGTAGATAAGTAGGTACCGCTCTGGTGGGAAGGTAAACGGTGTTTCCGTGCTCTGCTCTGGTTTGCCAGAAGCGGCTTAGTCATGCTGGCCACATGACCCGGAAGCTGTACGCCGGCTCCCTCGGCCAATAAAGCGAGATGAGCGCCGCAACCCCAGAGTCGTCCGCGACTGGACCTAATGGTCAGGGTCCCTTTACCTTTACCTATTTTTATTTTATGTGATGGCTGCTACATAGGAGGCCACTGAGAAGGCTTCCAAATTAAAGCTCAGTTTTATTTGCTGCAGTCTAGTGGTAGGCATCTATTTGGGGCCAAAGGTTCCCAGGTTCAGTCCTTGACTTTGCCAGGTAGAGCTGCCTGAAATACTGGAAGCCTGCTGCCAGTCATTGTAGACAATGCTGAACTAGATGGCCAATGGTCTGAGCCTGAACAAGGAAGCTTCCTATGTTCATTAGTCAGCCCCTTCCCAAAACTACTGTTCCAAGAGTTCTTTGACAGAGACAGGGAACAAGTTGGCATTAAGTTGATGGAGCTGGATGAACAAGAAAGGTCAAACACTGGTAGGTGCCGAGTAGACACTATAGTTATGGGTATGCTCTGTGTTATGAGATGAAACACTGCGATTCAGTATTGATTCAATTATTTCAGTAGTTCCTCTGTTTTTGTCTTAGTCTTGGAGACAAGCTAAAAATACAGCATTGGCTACAATTTAAGAATCATAGCCCTGCATGACTGGGGAAATGGGAGAGGGGCTCCATATAGACTTATATGTTAGAACTGTGCAACAGGATTGCTGTATTTTGGGTGCGGGATATCAAATCCAAACTCCTCCTCCTCCTCCTCCTCCTCCTCCTCCTCCTCCTCCTCTTCTTCTTCTTCTTCTTCTTCTTCTTCTTCTTCTTCTTCTTCTTCCACACAACATCAGAATGTCATGTGCTAATTCTTTTGGGGTTAAAAAAAGAATTTGGAACAAGATCTGTGGATCAGTATCATTTTAGGAAAATGCATGTGCTTCCCTTGTATTCTCACTAGTCACAATGTGAAGGAGGAATCTTCAGTTTTTAAAAAATAAGGATTCAGATTGTGATGGATGCAGATTGGGTGTGAGTGTGGACTACACTGATCTAGAAACCAGAGTAGTAATTTATTTATGTTTTATCAATACTTTTATACCCCTGAATAATAACATTCCCTTGGCAATTTGCAAAAAGAATACCTTAATTTAAATGTAAATAAAAAAACCATAGGGTTGGATTCAGACTTCATTTATACTGCTAGAGGAGGTAAGGTGACTTTTGCCACTTTCCTCCCTCCCCTTGCATCTCCCCCTGCCACCTGCTCCAGAACAGTTAGGGAGATGCTGCTTGGGGCTGCAAGGTAAGTGGGGTGGGGGTGGGGGGATGATTGTGAAAATATGCCACTCCCGCACTAGCAGGATTTCTCCACTGAGATGTAAGGAGTATTTCCATGTGTGGAAGACAAACTGTGGAAGCAACCCATTATAACTAATAGCCACAATATCATAAAAGCTTTGGAAAACATGTGGCAAGATTTAAATTACTAAAAAGCCTGGAACATAAAACAAGGTCCTTGCTTGATTCTGAAAGGCTTCATGAGAATTAGTATCGTGGGGTGCCTTTGAATGTGTGTAAGAGAAAGCAAGCTGTATGTGTTGGATTAGATCATTTTTACATGGACTAAAAAGCTTGGGAACTGGTTTTGTAGGTAAAAGAAGAATGCAAAGCTAGCACTCTGTGCCCTATATCCATGGAAGCAACAGCATACTGTGGCCGATGTGACTTCGACAAACATGCTCACATATGTGCTTGGATAAAGAGTTACTGGGATAATACAGAGAAGAACAGAGATGGAGGCATATGCCCAACTTTGGAGGAGAATGTCTACACTGGAGGTCCAACTCAATATTCATTCACAGGTAAACCATGTCTCATCTACTTTGTTGGCAACATTTGCATGTAAATGTCCAAATTGGTTGTTGTCTTTTGACAATGTTTTCTCTTTATAGATCTGAAACTAGAACCTCATGTCACATATGAGTACAGGGTAGCCACATGGAACAAATACGGAAGAGGATTAAGTGAAATTGGCAGAGATACTACTAAACAAGATGTGCCTGAAGGTGTAAGTCCACCCCAGTGGACCAAAGTAGATAACCGTGAAGACATAATATTTCTAAGCTGGAAAGAACCTCGGCAGCCAAATGGTATTCTGATAAAAACTATTGTATGATCTGATACAGAGCTGAACATAGGAAGCTGCCCATATACTAAGTTAGACCATTGGTCCACCAGCTTAGCATTGCCTTCACCTATGGGTAGTGGCTCTCCAGAGTTTGGGACAGGGGTCTCTCCCAGCCCTACTTGGAGATGCCTGAGTTTGTACATGGGACCTTCTGTATGCAAGGCAGATGCTCTGTCACTGAGCCACACCCTTCCTTCAGTGCTTTTGTGCCCAATGGGCTTGCTATAGAATAATAAATACTTTGCTTAAGTTCATCACCCATGTATTTGTCATGATTCCAGAGAGATCAAACCTGCATTTCATATATGCCTTCCATTAGTAGCCAGACAGCCCTCAGCAGAGAAGTGTCAGGCTGATAAGGTGAAGATTTATCACACATAACTTCTGCAGGACACTCCAATAATGCTTTACACACTTATTGTCATGACTTGCAGATTGATAATTTAAAACAAACAGTTTGTACAATAGGGCTGCCATATTTCAAAAAAGTTGTTGAGCTCCCCCCGCCCCCCAATGCATTTTAAAAAACCTGAGTTTTTGAGCTATTTTTTAATGAAATTTGCCAAAAACTGCACTTCTGACATGGGCTGCCATACATCCAGTGATTCCCGCCTGAATGCTGTTTGCAAGTGCCAAATACCAAACTTATGGCAACCCTGCAGCAACTAATGATACTGTTCAGTATCACCATGTGCTGCATCAGAAAAAGTATGTTTGAACCCACATGATTTGATGCAAGAGGCATTTTTAGATTTGGTCTGCTTTCAGATTTGCTCACAGGAAACCTCTCTTTTGAATGCCCCATGTTCAAATTGACAAGACTTTCACACAGGCCTCATTCAATTCAATGTTAAATGGTGATTTAGTGTTATATGAGTGATATATTGCAATGTAATTAAGTATTTTGTCCCGACTTTACACTGTGGCTCACCCCTTGCTTATTGAAACAAACCATCTTCATAAACCATGGTTTGAAGCCGGCTTGTTTCAGTAAACTGTACTCAAGACCAACCACAGTATGTCCAGGTTTGGCTGTGGCTCTGAACTGCAGCAAGAACTTTCCTTCTCCTTACAGCCATACTGAAGGAAGAAAAGGATGGACGGAGTGCATGTCCCCATCTTGTTCATGTAACACTAAGCCAGGCTTCCTCAACCTTGGCTCTCCAGATGTTTTTGGCCTACAACTCCCATGATCCCAAGCTAGCAGGACCAGTGGTCAGGGATGATGGGAATTGTAATCTCAGAACATCTGGAGGGCCGAGGTTGAGGAAACCTGCACTAAGCCATAGTTTCATGTTATGTTTGAACAAGGCTGGGATGTCCTTAATTTCACTTAAAGTCACAAAGGCTTTCTAATTGGATTTGTATCTGTTTTGACTTTCCTTCTCTCCTCCCTCACACCCTGCCCACAATTTAGTACTATCCCTGATTGCAAGCTGCTGCCAGGCACGACTCTTTCCTTATAACATTTTGTGAAAATAGTTTGTCACATGAATTCCTGGTATATATTTAATCCAAAAACATTATTTCCCCCTCCCCCCCCCCTTATGACAAGGTATCATCATTCATTACATTATTCTCCGAAATGGGATTGAGCGTTTCAGAGGAAAGGAACTGAGTTTCACAGACACTGGTGGTATTCAACCATATCAGGAATATTCATATCAACTGCGTGCATGCACTGTTGCTGGTTGTGCGGACAGTAGCAAGGTGGGTTAATTCTCCACTGGAGGGTGGGAGCAGCTGTGGGGAGATACTACAACAATATATTTCGACACGGAAGCTTCAGCATTGGTTATCCAGAAAGGCCCTTCCAGATATGATTTACTTGTTATTTTTTCTGCTGTACATATTCTCTTCATTGTCAATGTTTCTAAGCTTCTTCTCATTCCCTTTGGGTCAATCTGTTCCTTCAGCTGGAAGGAGACCTTTGCTGTCCCTCCCTTCCACCACGCAATAGTACACAGTCTGTAGCAGCCGGCAGAGAGTGCCTAACACCTCTCTTCCCAGCTGATGTATGAGTGGCCCTCTGCCAGCTAGGAAAGGAAGTAATCTATTGGAAGCTGAGGAAGGGCCAGCAACTCTTTCTAATGGCACCCCAGCAAGTGGCAAGGGGAGCAGTGGCATCAAAGTTTATGCCAATGTTTACTGGCGATAAAAAGCCCGAAGAAATGAGGCTGTTAAAATGCAGAGACACTGATGAACCATATGGAAGGGTGTTATCAAGAGTTCCATGGCAAGACAGCCTGCTCTCCAGATTTTCCTCTTGCCTGGCGCTATGTACTGAAGGCAAAACGTTGTGAATCTGCTTTGATAAATTGTACACCTAGACTCATGCGTAAACATATTCAAGGTCAGATTTTGCTGGGGTGTGTGTGGAATAAACCAAGGGGAGAAAAGTAACGTACTACAGAGCCGTGGTAATGATATGCCAGAGCAAACAACAACATTTTAAACTAGAAGTGACATTCTCATTGATCAAGGTATCTTCTGTACTATTACAATAAATTGCTGTCTGATTCATGTGTGTTCAGGTAGTTGCAGTCACTGTCCAAGGAGTCCCAGAGACTGTTCAGCCACCAACAGTTACAGCTTTGAGTGCAGTGGCATTGCGTTTGAGCTGGGTGGCACCCAGGAAGCCAAATGGTATCATCCGAGAATACCAGATCAGTCAAATGGGGAAAGGTCTTATATATACTGACACTGCAGGCAAGATGCAGCATACAGTATCAGGTAAGGATAGAAAGCTCTTTAAGCAAAATGCTCACCGGTTATTTAGCATTCAGACTTTTTAAATGTTGCAGTCTTATATATTTGATGGTAAGACAGGGGTTTGGTTTGCCCACATAGAATGATATAGTGGAATCCTGAGGTGCCAGAGTAGATGGTACAATTTCAGACTCCAGGTGGAGGTTGCCTGTTTCATAGCACTGCTACACTTTTAAAATCCTTGCAAGTGGAAAATCTAGCATAGCTGGGAGACATTTTCTGCCCAGCTTTTTCACTCCATACTCTATTTTTCTTGCAGGGAATTGGGCTGTATGTGTTCATGTAGGAAGGCATTCCAAAACATGATTCCTGAAGTTACAATCTGATGTGGTAAATTCCACTCTGCCATCTAATGACTTTTTCTGTGACATATTTCTTACATCATGCACTGCATACAATTGGGGTGTAAGAACTAACAGTGTTTACACTTGGGCAATGTTTCCCATTTCAGCACCACTTTAGGGCAGATTTTGGGTGGTAAACTCTACATGGTTTTGGCATGATAAACTCTTCACCATGGAAACATGTGTTGATCTTGCCACATAAAGCCCTCATGCTGAGGGAGGGTGGAAGCTTTTGAACATAAGAGTAAAATAATCACATTTCCTCCTTATGGTACTGTGTCCCAAATCATGAAAATAAATACCTATTTTCTCTCTCTCAGTCCCTTAATTATGTTCTTATCTCAAACTTAAGATTTGATACTGCCATGAACCCCTCCCCAAATTACATTCTTTTACATCTGCATGAATAGTTGGGGTTTTGTTTATTGCTAGTGTTTTGTGCTTATAGATGTTGGGTTATCAGTAGTGCATCATTTACATCTGGTTGCTCCTTGTATTACATACCTGCAGTGGACATCAGTGATTTTCCTGTAGACTGTGTGTGTGTGTGTGTGTGTGTGTGTGTGTGTGTGTGTGGCACACACACACAGTGCCATACTGTTTACAATATTGGAATATTAAGTGGCATATAAATATCTGAAATTATAGATACATGCAGTGCTTTTTTCAGTGGGGACGCAAGAGTATGCATACCCCTAAACATTTTTTGAATCTAAGTTTGGCCTCATTGAGGGGCAGTATTTCAATATGAGTAGGAAAATGAGAGTACCCCCAAACATTTTTTTAGAAAAAAAGCACTGAATACATGTGAGGTTCTTTTTTTAAAATTGTTTTGTTATAATTTCCAAATTCCTTTGATGAAGATGAAGCAAAACTGTCGGGCACATCCTGAGATGTTGGTCCAGGGGACAGTCATAATTTGTCATTGGACAAACAAATTTACTGTTCTCCCTATATTACATAATCTGCCCAGTAGTAGTAGTAGTCGTAGTAGTAATTGTAGCAGCAGCAGTACATTCACAATAGTAAAGGTACCCCTGCCCGTATGGGCCAGTCGTGTCCGACTCTAGGGTGGTGCGCCCATCTCACTTAAGAGGCCAGCACTGTCCGAAGACACTTCCGGGTCATGTGGCCAGCGTGACAAGCTGCATCTGGCGAGCTAGCGCAGCACACGGAAACACTGTTTGTCTTTCCGCTAGTAAGCGGTCCCTATTTATCTACTTGCACCTGGGGGTGCTTTCGAACTGCTAGGTTGGCAGGCGCTGGGACCGAGCAGCGGGAGCGCACCCCACCGCAGGGATTCGAACCGCCGACCATGCGATCGGCAAGTCCTAGGCGCTGAGGTTTTACCCACAGCGCCACCCGCATCCCTAACATTCACAATGCACTTCTGTTAACATTGCATTGTCAGTCTAGTGTTGAAATGTCATGTTTAGCCAACTTCCGATGCCAATTAAAAATATTTTTATTCTCTTGGGCTTTTTTGTGAGGACTGATGAGGGATATTCTGTTGGATGCATCCATGCCTCTAATGTTGTTGGGGAATGTTTGGTATTTGCTGTGGAAACTCTTGATAATGGCTGTCACCTGCTGTTTTACACCCCCCCCCCTTAATTGTTAGATTTTTATTTTTTGTTACAGCTTTTAAATCATTGCTACCTGCCCTGGGATCATGGAAATGAACAGCATGATATAAATCAAACCAACCAATTAATTAATATCCAGTGTTAAGTGATGGCTTTAAAATACTAGACAGAGCCTCACTGGATGAGACCAAAGATCCATGTAGTCTAGCAATTAGTTCCCAATGGTGGTTGGCAGTATCATAGAATTAGAAAGTTGGAAGGGACCAGGAGAGTCATCTAGTCCAGCTCCCAGTGTAGGAATCTTTTACCCATTGTCTACGACCCTGAGATTAAGAGGCAACCTTAAAAGCAAAGCATGAAAAGCAACAATCCACTTCTTGTTGCTGTTTGCCATGCTGGCCTGGACTAGGAATTTCCTTTGTCCTGAAGTAGAATTGCCAAAGCAATTGCCAATGAATATTTCTGTTGCCTATAGCTTTAGTGAAAACAACCCCACTATTCCAATGGCTTTTTTTTAATTATTATTCAGCAAGAACCTCCCCATACTGAGCAAGGCAAGAGTGCCTTTTATTCCACCTCAAGGTGGAATAGTGCTTTTTCTACGTGATAATTACTACACTCTAAATTCATGGTGTTCACTAAAACAACTGTACTTTCACATATCTCAGATGTTTGAACTGGCCATCGTTTCAGGCCCCCGTGGACCTGTGTTTTGATTTTTCTCATCTTCAAAAAACCTCTGCTGTTCCCAGAGCAACAGTTGAACGTTAATGAAGCTGTAGCATTAGCGTTCCCTGAGACTTTCAATCCGAGTGCCTTACAAATTGCAGATGAGGAGGCTTGCACCTTGCCACGGCACCATTGTCTCGCTGCTTATTTTTAATTACATCAAAGCTTTGGAAACATGATCCCATAAATGCTTTGTGGGAATAGCGGTGAATGTGCTCGTCATGTGAAATCCATAAATTGCTTATAATCCTCTCAAGATGTTAAAAAAAGCATTAAGTAATTGAAGACAGGAAGTCCTCAGTTAATTATTTAGAGGTGTTATCAATGCTTTAAGTAAACTGAAGCATTTTCTGCTATCGCATGGAGTAGAATGCCACTGGGAGCGAGGGGCACCAGCCATCATCTTCTCATATTCTCTAATGCAAACAGCCTATGGCAGCTTGTCAATAAAAGACCTTTTTATATCATTTATTAGTGAACACTTCCAGTACTCTGTACAGAACAATTTGGATGACAGTTATGGCATTGTTTCACTTTGTGTTACTACTCCTTTACAAATGGTCCTGCTAATGCAAGCGGGGGCGGGGGGATGGGGAGGGAGACTAAAATAATTAGGGGGCATTCTATTAAAAGAAAGCTAAGACTGCCCTCTTCAGCAGCAAGAACAGGAATTCATTTTCCACAGTCTGTTTTTGCATCTCAGACGCTTCCAGAATAATGGAATTTCTGAAAAGATTCCTCTCTCCGTTTTACTAAAGTTATTTCATAACAGGCACATCCACTGACGTACCTTTCATTGAACATATTTTATATGTTGTGCAGAATATTTTGTGACTGAAATGGTTAGAGAATTTCACAAAAGTGGAAATCCCCAAGGGGGGATAGCTGTCTGTTGTGCAAAAAGAACAAGAATTCCTGTAGCAGCTTAAAGATTCACATGTTTGTTGTGGCACAAGCTTTTGTGGGTTATATCACCCATTTGTTTGTTTGTTGTTATTATTTCCATTTATTAGTCATCTAATGAACAATATTCTTTAGACAAAAACAGCGGCAACAATGCAGGCACTTCCCATGTAAGGTTTCACTGTAGTAAATTGGGCAAAGTTGTGGATGCCTGGGCTGGAATAATATATGCAAACTGATGCAACAATATCCTGAGAACAGCAAACTCATGCATTTGTTTTAGACTGGGGCTTAACAAGGCCTGATATTTGAAGGGATAAAGGTATGATTTCTGCCTACATTCTGACCTACATTATTAGTTTTCATCTTCAGATTTCTTCCTGAACTACCAAATTTCTTTCTAAACTCACTCATTTACAAAGCAGTTTGAGGATTTGGCAGCAGTACTTTAAAAAGAAAGAAGGGTGTGAGTGTGTGCTCATTCAGACATGATTCCAAACCAAGATGCAACAGGCTCAAAGCCTTCCTTCTTCACCTCTGGCACAAGTGTGGTTAATCAAAAACGGAAGTTGAAACTTCTTATCTCATTTTTATGGTCATGCCAGAGGAGCATATGAGCTGGAGGCATGCTTTGGCTTCTGATGCTAAACCATGAATATGTGTTATATCTGCACCCAAGCAGAGAGCAAGAGCATGTGAAAATACAGAAGAAAATGTCTCCTGTGCATGCACAATGTTTTCTTCCAATTTATTATTCAAATGAATATGCAGTCTTCAAGAAATGCTGCTTATTTGTTTTTATTTATATATTGCAAAGTTTTCACTCAGCCTTCTTTACAAATTCCAGATGGGTTTTGGAATTATGCCCATGGAGGAGTACATTCAGCAAACATTTTGGCAGAATTGGCCATCCATTGGTCTCTTTGTTGTCCTTTGAGAAAAGATACACAGGCAGGACAACTCTGTTTTTAACAGCTTTGGCTAATTCAAACTTCCAGATCATTCCAAAACAAAGAGGCAAGCCTTATCCTGAAGGAGGACCCGAATGAAAAGCAAAGTCGTGATCCTTATGAGTGGAAAGACCCCCATTTAAAACCTTCTTCTCCTGCATACCCATGAGGTGATCAGCTGCCCCCCAGATTCAGCTCTCTCCCATCTATGACGTTGGGACAATAATAATGAAAAACCACCCATACAGTCGTCTTTTTTACACCATTTTTTCCAGTCTGTACTAAATGGTTGTAAATAAATAGCGCTTTCTAATAAATATTTACTTTTAAAAGTGAATGAACATGACTCCCTTTAGGGGAGTTGAAATAATCTGTTGCCACAGTAATCTTTTCTATCATGAAATACTGTTAAATGTTTGGCTCCCATCCATGTCTTTCCCTTTCTAGCCTGCAACTATCATTTTTGCCCGTTTGCTTTTATGCTAAGTATATAGAGATTTCCACCACCACCACCACCACACTTCTCTTCGAGTTCATGATTAGGTTACAATCCAGACTGTCTCTCTGACTCCTCTATTTTTCAAAGCTTTGCATCCTGTTCAATTTGCAAGCAGCTTGAAGCCTTGGGTGTCGTTCATTCATTCATTCACTGTATTTCCCTTCCGATGGGCCTGTTGTGTATTGCTGTTCTGTATGTATGACCATTTTGAAATCCACAACAACAATGAAGCTGTCATCTAACCGTTTTTAGACAAAGGGTTCTGCCCAAAGGATTTTTTCTCCCCTTGTCATAGAATTGCATTGTTTTTCTTAAAGTACTTACAATACTAGTTTAATGAAAACATTTTGCAAAGGGTAGAGAAGAAGAGATAAGAAAGAGCGGGACCCATCACTGACAAGGACAAGGAAGATTAGAGGGAAAATACAAAATGTGAACAGAAGTCTAATAGTGGTTTCTGTGCTCGTAAAAGGAGGAAATCTGGTGTCTTTCCCCTCCTTGATACTGCGTTTCGAGACTTATGCATTAGAATGAATGCATATTTACATATTTATAACCCATTTTCAAAGATGCAGTTGGGTCTTGAAATATTTTGTGGTGGAGGAATGCAGAGAAATATAAAGGTGGAGCCATGGGAGGTAATTGTAAGTTAAGGATAGAGAAATAGGAAATGACTTATAAAACTGATACTGACTAGGGGAAGAGGTTGTATTTTGGAATGGATTCCAATGCACAGTTAATGAGTATAAAATACAGCAGCAAGTTCTGTTTAAAATCCTGCTAGACCCTGGAACTAAGAGTTGATATATGTGTAAAGGTAAAAGTAAAGGGACCCCTGACCGTTAGGTCTAGTCGCGGACGACTCTGGGGTTGCGGCGCTCATCTCGCTTTACTGGCCGAGGAAGCCGGTGTATAGCTTCCGGGTCATGTGGCCAGCATGACTAAGTCACTTCTGGCGAACCAGAGCAGTGCACGGAAACACCGTTCACCTTCCCACCGGAGCGGTACCTCTTTATCTACTTGCACTTTGACGTGCTTTCGAACTGCTAGGTTGGCAGGAGCAGGGACCGAGCAACAGGAGCTCACCCCATCGCAGAGATTTGAACCACGACCTTCTGATCGGCAAGCCCTAGGCTCTGTGGATTAACCCACAGCGCCACAAAATATAACTCACTGATGGCATTCATTGCTAGCAAGATGTGGCAATGGCCAGTGCCATAGACAGCTTTAAACGTGGGGACTGGAAAAGTGGCTATTAACTATCACTAAACAAACAAACAAACAAATATGTGGTATGCCTTTGAATACATACTGCGACTGCTAGAGAACTAACAACATGAGAAAAGCTTTTGTCTTGGTGTTCTGTTTCTGGGCTTCCGGGAAGCCTCCAACTGGTCACTGTTGGAGTTCACCAGATGTTGGACTAGAGGAACCTTTGCTCTGATCCAGCAAGCTCCCCTTAAGCATTTATGGGTGCTGGGTTGGCATCCATTCAGCGCTATCATTGTTACCCTGACAGAACACTCAGTGTATCCCACTGTGAGCATATCTGTTTGAGTGCTTTGGGAATCTGGGTGATCATTGTGTTGGGAAGACTATGACCAGCAAATGCATTTCTGACCATAGCATAATAATTAACAGAAACAAACACAATTTTTTTTATTTAGTAGGCCTAATTTGAGCCACACAACTCAAACTGATTAATTTTTTGTTATATACATTTCAACAACCCCAAAGTGTGAGATTCAGCAGCAGAGATGTTGTAAAAGTGTGTTGATCCCCCATTGAAGGGGATAACAGTGGCTAGCCAGACCTTGTTGCTGATTGAGAAGGGGTCCCCATAACAGTTCAAGCATCAGTGTCCCAAAAATGTAGGTCTGCCCTGATAATACCCCATACAGTACACTTCGTAGGGAAGATTCGTGGCTGGAAATCTGGGTCAGAGCAAACATCTGAAGACTTCATTTTAATCCTATTTGGTTTGGTTGTTTAGATCTTCAGCCTTACAGAAACTACAGCTTTACACTCACAGCATGTACATTTGCTGGATGCACTTCTAGTCGGACAAGTTCGGGTAGAACACTGCAAGCTGCTCCTCAAGGTAAGTAGAAATATATTAAGTTCTCCAGAACTTGGAGGCACTTACACCAGCAGTAAATGTTCTATAGCATTTGTGCTAACCAGAAGAACCAGCTCCTAGATTTGTTTTTAAAGAAACAAAAACCTCTGGCATTCAGATATGATGTTGAATTTGTACAGTTACATCTGTGCTCCTTTGTGCCTGTGCACGCAGAACAACTTTGAGGTAGTATGCAAAATAAGAGAGGGAACCCTCAAATAAACGAACAGAATGAAAGCACAGAAAAACTGCTCTCATGCTATTGCTGTAATACACTGTTTAAGCACCTAACTTTTGAAGAGTCCAAAGAACAGAGCTGGGGAGAAAGAATTGGTGACAGGACACAAGAAAGAGCATAGTCTGCACCATCTCCAGGCACAATTTTCAGTGGCAAATAGTAGGTATATACCAAATGAGTCTCAGCACATGTTTTAAAGGTAAAGGTAAAGGTACCCCTGCCCGTACGGGCCAGTCTTGACAGACTCTAGGGTTGTGCGCCCATCTCACTCTAGAGGCCGGGGGCCAGCGCTGTCCGGAGACACTTCCGGGTCACGTGGCCAGCGTGACAAAGCCGCATCTGGCGAGCCAGAGCCGCACACGGAAACGCTGTTTACCTTCCCGCTAGTAAGCGGTCCCTATTTATCTACTTGCACCCGGGGGTGCTTTCGAACTGCTAGGTTGGCAGGCGCTGGAACCGAGCAGTGGAAGCGCACCCCGCCGCGGGGATTCGAACCGCCGACCTTCCGATCGGCAAGCCCTAGGCGCTGAGGCTTTTACCCACAGCGCCACCCGCGTCCCAGCACATGTTTTACCTACCACCTAATTTTCCCTGTTTCTATTTCCATAGATTTGGAGGGTGACCCAAGGGCAAATATTTAAGGAAACACCATTTTGCACATTAAAAAAAAAATCACTGTATTTATTAGTTGCCCAGTGACTGGATGACATAAAGTATATAATAAAGCCATAAAATACAATTTTATATTGCAGTCTGAAGGTGTTGGTAAATCGCTTCTGCACTGATCCATCCCTCAGATTAGACTTCTATAATTCTGTAATTGTGCCTGGGGATCCCTCTGAAGAAAGTCCAGAAACTAAAATCACTCCAAAATGCACCTGTGAATCTAATACCTAGTCCTGGGTATTATGTTCACATTACAGCTTTCCTTTGTCAACTGTGTTGGCTCTCAGTTAATTTCTGAGACCAATTCAAAATGCTGGTTTTCACTTTTGAAGGCCTTCAGAGCTTGGAACCAGGATACTTAAGAACTGGTTACCTAGGGTATGCTGGTCCATACACTAATATCTTCAAAAATTGCTTTTCTTTGGGTGATCTTGCCATCTCAGGTGCAATGGTAGGCTACTTTGTTTTGGCACCCAACTATGGTATGCTTTCCCCAGGGATGTCATATCTGTAGACAAAACCCTTTGTGATTTCCCCCAGCTTTTATGCTGCTTGGTGTTTGTTTTCAATCTTCCTGACTGTTCTTTTATACTGTGGTGTTTTAATGTTACACACACACACACACACACATTTTGTAAGCCGCCCTAGAAACCCGGTTATATATAAAATTAATTTTTTAAAAATAAATTTTAAAAAAAATAAATAAATTGTAACGTTGTTTGCTCTCATCGAGATCAAGCTGAATTGATTTTGGATGTCGGCTTTATTAACTAACACAGTCTACCATCCTAGCTTGTTTATAACATTAAATAATTATGCAAAGATGTTGTTATTAACACTGTATTATTGATATAATTACAGGGGTATGGTCACAGCCTCGTCATATCACAGTTAGCTCTACAGTAGTTGAATTATATTGGGATGAACCACAGCAACTTAATGGAATTATTTCTCAGTATCGATTGCTTTGTAATGGAGAAGAGAGTTTCAAGGGTGGTAAAGAAAATCTGAATTTCACTGATTCTGGCCTGCAACCAAATAGCAGGTAAAATGGCGGAGGTGTCTAATAAGTGTTTAATCTAGTATAATGTATTTATAACTTCCGAAAATGTTCGAACATGATCTAACTGTTAGACCCCATATATGGATATCTCTTTGGCATTCCTATGAATGCTGAGGGCATGATAGCACCTGAATTCAGTTTTCCAAAGCTTCAGACGAAACAGATCAGCAGTGCTGTTAGCTCATTAGTTATGTGTGAGGGCCAGTAGACAGAATCCAAATGCCATTCCTCACTCTAGTGAGAGCAAGTGATCTGTGTAATCAAGGATTATGATCTGTTACACACACACACACTTACACATACATACATACATATAACAGACACACAGAGAGAGAAATGCAGGAAATTTAATATTACTGGTATTTGACACACATGTTTTATGATGTTCATTCATCAACCTAATCATTTCTAAAATTTAAAGTAAATGTGTTCCAAATAACTAACATATTTGATTATTTTGTGAACATTTCTTTCTGTCCTCCGCTCACTGTACCCCATTGTTTGTTTATAGATATGTTTACCAGCTAGAAGCCAGCACATGGGGTGGGAGCAATACTAGTGGCAAATACATTATCCAAACACCTGTGGCAACACCAGAGGAAATCCGCACCCCATATAATGTCACAACAATTGATGCACATTCCATATTTGTAGCTTGGGAAATTCCTGGTAAGCATGAGTTTTTGTGTACTATATAACAAATGTGGGATATATATTAAATGTGTTATCTGTCTGCTGAAGTCATCTGCTTTTCGTGTTTTTGGTTTTTGTGATTTAGGAAGGAATGGTTCATACCAGTGTTGGCCTTACCATCCTTCCTTAAGTGGCAGATTTGGATTTATCATTAAAATGAATCAATATATGTATGTATGATGTCTCGGTTCCATTGAGTTCAATGGGACATACATTCAGGAAACTTGATACCAAATTACAGCATTCATTTGTTACAAGTGTGACCATAATTACAGGGAGAAGAAATATTTGGGTTTTCTCCTTCAGGCACCAAAATGTCTTCAGCCATCTCTGGTTTGTGATAAAACAATAATAATTAAGCAATAGAATCGGCTGTATTGCCTTCGAATTGAGGAAATATAATTTAATGTCAAATTGTGAATTTTAATTTAATAGCGATCATCTAGTCATACCATCTATGACTTATGTGCAATTGATTAATTCATTTGAATTTGGCTTCAGACAGTTATTTATTATCAGAGCCTTTAAAAAAGAGGAACCGTATCCTTGTTCTCCTTTCTCTGCTGAGTTCATGACAAATGCAGCCAATTCTGGGGATGTCTGCTCTCCAAAAAGGAAGCATTAACAACCCCAGTGTAGTGTCTGTTTGTCATACCAAGAGTTGCTGAGTGAACTCTCAGGCAGTGTACTGTTTAGTATGAAATTAAAGTTCTTGTTACACATCCTCTGTTGGGCCTCTACCTCGTGATACTTTCCCCTCAGACTAGAAGGGCTCCATCTACTAATAGCTGATCTTCACCAGCAAGTGTGGCAATGAGCTAAACTTTCAGCTATTTACCCTCATTATATGGGTATTCCAACACAATGGTGGTTAATATAAATGTAATGTTCCATAACTATGATGATTTGCTCCTTCTCATGTTGTGTGTGGCTCTGTAGTTTTCAACTGCTGAAAAATATGAGAAATTGTGTATACGAAGGAGATTGTGCTCTCATCATTTATTTCAGACAGAAACAGGAGGCTATATCTAAAATGGTTATGTATTGAATCTGAATTTTATTTTTTTTCCATTTCTAGCTTCTTTAAATATATTCTACTAATAATACTAATTGGGCATTTTTCTATGGAGTCTTTCTTCATAAAATACTGTACTCCCACCTTGCAGAAAAGCCACAGAATGACAAGAGGATATAAAAACATTCAATATGAAGTTACCTGGTAAACATTTGCACTCATGCTTGGAATAGTAAATATTCCTGTGATGCCCATTGAACCAATGGTTAATAGATCTATAATATCCTGAGCTGTCAATCTTTTAGTTTTCAGAAGCACAAAATCCATTATAGAAATGCTATAATATATGAAAAAGATTAAAATCTTAAATTAAACTTTTCCCCTTCTACTGCCTAGAAGGATTTAGAACCCAGGAAGAAGGCAGGTGAATTTGACTTATAATCTACACTTGATTTCATTGGAAAGTGTCTCATACTGTCTCAGTTTTGATAATAAGTTTCACTGAAAGCTTTGAATATTCACTACTACAAATATGTTTTGTTATCTTCTTGAAGCCTGATCCTATGCAGAGTTAGTCATGGCTAAGTCCATTGATAATGCACCTAACTATGTGTTAATCACACACAAATAATTAAAAGGTCAAAATAAGAAATTGAATGATGTGCATGTTTCATCAGAAAATGGGTTTCTCTCTGTTCTCCCATCCCACTCTTCCCCCAGAGTTTCCGAATTGTATGCATTTGTAAAAGGTTTAAGGGAAAAGCTTAATTACAGCAAATTCACAAACATAGATGCATATGCCTACACAGAAGGTATTTGTGAAAGCAATAGTATATCTCTGAGAAGCAGGAACAAGCAGTGTGAGGGGAAATATGGGAAGCCAGCCACTGCCATCATCATCACCTCAATTTATGATAATAATAGTAAGCTAACTAAGGGGAAAGAGAGTCTGAGGTAACTGAAAAACAGGACAGGCATGCGGAACCAATGCACCTTCCATATATTGTTGGACTCCGACTCCCATCATCCTTGACCACTTGCTTTGCTGGAGGGGGCTGGTGGGAGCTGTGGCCCAAGAACATCTGAAAGGCTTCCTGTTTCCTGCTACTGAAATATTTATTTTATTTAAATCATTTCTATACCACCATATATATATATATATATATATATGCTTTCGTAGATTTTCACGGGTACAGGAATGCAGGTTTTTGGTGTCCTCGGGTGTCTTCCCGTGTAGAAGTTGGGGTGTCTAGGCGACGTTTCGACGAGGTCGACCTCGTCGAAACGTCGCCTAGACACCCCAACTTCTACACGGGAAGACACCCGAGGACACACACATATATATATATATATATATATATATATATATATATATATATATATATCAAAGTAAAACATTGCGGATAAAAGTCAAATACAGTGGTACCTCGGGTTACAGATGCTTCAGGTTACAGACTCCGCTAACCCAGAAATAGTACCCACTGCCCAGTACAGTAACCTCCCCCACAATGCATCCTTGGACCAATCCTGCACATCCAAGCTTCATTCTCATGCATTCCCACCAGCCATGCAGATAAATAATTCCCAGATATTAGATAAAAGGTTTGGTCTGCAAAAATACATAGGAGCATTAAGCGTAATTTACAATGGCTCATTCATCCATCTCCATCTAGGGCAATGGAATGTCATATGAAGAGCAACATACTGTAACTACTGAGGAGTACTGGGCAATTTTGAAACACACAAAAACATGACAAACCAGACTCTCTCCCTGGACAGCAAAAATACAACTCCCGATTACCACCCAGTAATACATCACTCACTTTCTCCTACTGAAGAGAGTGGTAGGTTATAGGGATGTGCAAAGAGAGAGATAAACAACGTCTTGTTTCATAGGAATATTGGCATGATGAATCACTTCTGTGAGTTTTCTAGCAAAAAGTAAGGTGATGTCTCACTGTCCTGGATCAGATTGGCTCTCAACGACTAAAATTGCATGGGACTGTCAACCCATAAAAATGAGGCCTGGAGGAAATGGCTGAAAGTATGACTGGAGGGTGTCATGAAGGGATGGCAATGTTAGTAGCAAGCTGTATACAACTATGATGTATTACTGGCAAGTTCCCCCCCCCCCCCGTTTTGTAGGTTTAGTTTTATTTTTCTTTAGACTTTACTTTTTCCATGAATGGATCTTCAGTTATGCATTCAATACATCATATTGAAATACTCTATTTCTCCCTTTTACATTCAAAGGTCAACCTTTATAATAAGGGTTGGCAGTGATTCTCCCATTGAGACAGTCATTTTAATTGATATTGTCTCCAGGAATAAAATTGCTTTTTATTAATCAAGTTTTGATGAGAGGCTAGTTGGCCACAGTATCTTCCTGTCTATGGAAAGTGGCTGCATTCTGGCATTCGATCCCCTTGTCTTCTATAATAAATTAGGATCACATAAGCACCCACAGGATTAATTATGGGCTACCTATCCATGGAGTCTCCTTTTATTTTAATTATGATGTTTCAACAGCAGTGATGTCTCCAAATTCCATAACTTTATAGATGTCATAATTCAAAACTCCTGTCTAAGCTAAATGGTGAAATGTCCAAGCAGTGGTTAAAGTGATGAATTAAAGGAGAAAAAGGTGTTTGACACACCTCACTTACTATGGAAAATAGGGCTTTAATTTCTGAAAGAGCAAGAGATACTGGGTGTCGGTGCACTTGTTTTACCAATATGGTACTACGGACCTTATTTTCAGTGGCTGGGGTCATTATGGACAGGGAATAAGTTTGGATGCAGCCCACTATGTCCTTGAATGCACTCACTTAGTTTTTTCTGATATAAGTAAAGCATTGCCAATAATTTTTCTGAAAGTGATTTTGCTACTGAAATAATAGTTTGGGAACTGAAACTGCCTTGGTTATCCTGGCGAGAGATATACAGGAGTGTGGCCCTGTTAATTCTCTTGGATGTCTCAGGGGTTTATGTTACAATTTGAGTGCTGAATCCAAGTGGGACCTAGTGGCTTTGGTGGTTTTTATGGTGGCCCTGGTTTTACCTGGAGGATAGGTCTTAAAAGGTGGTGTTGGATGGCTGATGCTCCACACAGTGACCTTTTAAATGCAGGGTGTCTCATACACTATTTAGCACCTACATGAAACCATCGGATGAAGTTTTTGGAATACTTAGTCTAGGGCAGCCTTTACCAACCTGGTGCCTGCCTGCTGTTTTGAACTGTAATTCCCATTAGCCTCAACTAGCAAAACCACATTATGCACTGTAAATTACAGTCATACCCTGGGTTACAGACACTTCAGGTTGCGCGTTTTTGGGTTACGGATGCGCCGAAAACCGGAAGTACCCGAACAGGTTACTTCTGGGTTTCGGCGCATGTGCAGAAGCGCCGAATCGCAACCCGCGTGTGCGCAGACGCAGCACTGCGGGTTGCAAACATGCCTCCCACACGGAACACGTTCGCAACCCGAGTATCCACTATACACCTCAGTATGATTTTATTTGTGCAGCTTTTAGTAGATAATAAGATTGTGCCATTAATCTGAATATTTAGCCTCAAGAATGATGATGGAGCCATATATACTGTTTTATGATAATATGGGTGTGTTTTTAATAATAAACATCAGAGGAAATCTTTACGTTGAATATTAATAAAATACATAAGATATGTAGCTGAAATCCAACTCTGGAAGATATGGGAAAAACAATATTAGACCACTGGTCATTATTGGGTTTGAATTTTGATATATGCCAAAGAACATGTGATGCTTTTTTTAATCTGTTGATTTCAATGGTGATTTCAATCTATACGGGGGGGGGACGGACAATATCCTTTTAAACCATACTTTCTTACACATTTTTCTTATGAGACTCCTTAGTTTTGAAATGAATTTGAAGGTGCTTTTTTCAGAATTGTCCATTATCCACTGTCCAAATATAAAGAAAAAAGGGGGAAGAGGAAAGCCCAAGATGTTGTTTGATTGACTTGTCCTGTTGCAAAATATGCACCTGCTGTGAAATGAAGTCATGGAGAGAAAAAAGTGGAATAATTTAACTTTTTTATTTGTAAAGATAATCAGGATTTTCTGATTACATCTTAACTTCATAAATGTTAAATAACCTATCAGCATCTAGTTGTTGTAAATTATGAAAAGGAGTATTGCTGGGAATATTAACCAACTAAATCCTTGTTCTTTAGTGAACATGAAAATGCGTTATGGCAGGTTGTCATTGTGCTCACGGTAACTTTGACACCAAATAACAAAACTGCCATTTGCACTTAGGGTAAATTGGTTCACTTGTGCTTTTACTGTTCTTTTTATTCTGACATAAATTTATGAACTCTGGAACTAACCAAGTCGTGTGGTTTCCCAGCTGACTTTAACAAATCTGCCCATTTCATTCCATTCACTCATCAAACCATCAATGCTGTGGTAGTTTCAGACTCGCCGCAGATATTTTAAGACATAGGCACTTTTCTGACCGCCACATTTCCATTTCCTATGAACATTTGCCTTTCTTGTTTTCAAAGGCATCAGCTGATGGGGGAAATATGTTACTCAGAAAAAGAGGGCAAAGCATCCTACTGACAATCCCATTGTTCTTCAACACATTTTTTACATGATTTGTGTAACATATTCTTGCTTTCTTCCTGAGAAGACTTGATCAAGGCAGTCTGTTTACTTTTAACTTTATTTATTTGGGTTTTTGGCCTGTCTTTAGTAACAATCTAATACAATTTCAGATGTGAATAAAAAGTCCAGATGGCATCCCTCCAACGTTTATATTTAGGTAACATGCAAAATGGCACCCTCCTTTTGGAATCTGCTGTTTTTTCTGGCTTCCTAGTGAGGTTGTTCCTACCAGTTTTGAATCAATATAACATAGTGGACAGAATACCAAAGCTCCACTCCTCTCTCCACGGTTCTTTTGTGTAGCTACATTACACATATATGTGTAACTCCCATGCAAGGCTCCGGCAGAATGATTGTCCAGGACAGCAAATCTTGATGTTGATCTTTCTTCCCCCCTTCTTCCTGACGTAGACCTTCCCTCTCCCCTTCTTCCCTGGCAGGGAGAGAAGTGAAGTTTTAGGATCAACTTCAGGTTCCAAAATCTCTTATGCTGTCCCTGATTGGATGGAGTACTGGATCCCCACTCAGTGATAATGCCTAATGCAGTGTTTCTCAAATTTGTTAGACTACAGCTCCCATCATCCTTGACCACTGGTCCCACCCAACTTTGAGAAACACTGGCCTAATGTGTGCCTTCAGTCCAACCTATTGTACAAGGTTTTGGTATGAATAAAAATGGGAAAGCCCGACATGTGTTGCTTCCATGAGCATTTTGAAGACAGGGCAAGATACAAGTGTGAAAGACAGCATGTCATGGAAACCCAGGCTATGTTAGGGCTGCCCTACATCCGGGTTTTCCTGGACACGTCCGGGAATTGCTCAGAAAAATGGTGTCCGCGTGGATTTTTGTTGAATCGGCAAAATCAGACGCATGGCAAGTTGGGCTGTTTTTATTTTAAAAATCTATACAGTGGTACCTCGGGTTAAGTACTTAATTCGTTCTGGAGGTCCGTTCTTAACCTGAAACTGTTCTTAACCTGAAGCACCACTTTAGCTAATGGGGCCTCATGCTGTAGCCATGCTGCCGGAGCACGATTTCTGTTCTCATTCGGAAGCAAAGTTCTTAACCTGAGGTACTATTTCTGGGTTAGCGGAGTCTGTAACCTGAAGCGTATGTAACCTGAAGCGTATGTAACCCGAGGTACCACTGTAATGGTTTCTTACAGAGCTTCTTGGCACCCTTCTGTCCACTTGTGGGACAAGTAACACTGTGCTATATGAGTCTACATGAACCTAAATATGATTTCATACCTTATGCTTATGAAATTCTCTAAGTATTTCACTTCTACCCATAGCCTTTTCACTATGTTATTCTGGTTTTGTATAATCTGAAAAGTCTAGTCTACTGAATGTTGGATCCTGTAGAACAGGCATGGCCAAACTTGGCTCTCCAGCTGTTTGGGAATACAATTCCCATCATCCCTGACTACTGGTCCTGTTAGCTAGGGATGATGGGAGTTGTAGTCCCAAAACAGCTGGAGGGCCAAGTTTGACCATGCCTGCTGTAGGACAGTGGTGGACCACCTGTGTCCCTCCAAGATGGCGTTGACCCCCATCAGCCCCAGCCATTATGACCAATGATTACAATGACCAATGTCTAGTGATGGGAAGTCATGCAGCAGTGGAAGTACAATGGCATGTGTTGATCCTACTTTGAACTTCCACAGTTCAATGGAAGGTCTGCATAGAGACCGCATTCATGCAACTATAAACTCATAGAGATATTTCTGGGTGATCAGAAATCCTGGGAAAATAGGGTTTCCAATTCCAGTGGAAAGAGCCCTGTGTGTGTGATCCCTCTCCATCTCTCTGTCTGAATATCTGAATAGGGTTTCGATGGCAAATCTTTGACTCTTAGCCAAATGTGTGAAATATCTCCATGGCTGATCATGATGCTTGAGTTGGCATTGGGAAAATTAAAAATTCTGTCTCTGGTGATTCGTCTCTGTTGCCTGGTGCTTGTGACCACTGAAATGCTGAGCATTCATGTGTGAATAAGGTATGTTTATTATTCATGTATGAATGAAGTATCATTATCAAGAAACACAATCTTAATCATTCCAGTGCTTCATGGCACAGAGTTCCCCTGTTTACGAGGAAACACGAAATCATAAAGACTGTGTATGTGAAACAGCAATTATCCTATGAACTGTTGTCTATTTTGTAACAGGATCATTTAAGACTAATTTGCCTTTGAAGTACAACATACTACTAAATGCTGGCAGCACCTCTCCGCTTGTAATACCAGTCGGCCAGCCTAACTTTGCTCTTTTGGATGGTCTGGATCCGTACACACAATACGAGATAAGGATACAAGCCTGCCAGGATGGTAAGATGTTAAGTAATTCTCTTTTGTCATCAGCAGACAGTGCAGTTTTGCAAAATAGCTTCTGTTCAGCAAAACAGATAACATCTTATTTCAAAATTGAAGTGAAATGTTTACCTAGTAAAAGCAAAGCCTGACACTGAGTGGTGCATTTTACATTTCTCCATATTATATCATGAATATTTTAAAAGAAAATTTAAAACGTTAGCATTTGGGCGAATGGGAGTCCTTTTTGTGAAATGCATTATGAAAAGCATAAAGTAGGGGTTTTTTTATTAAAAAAATTGTCTAGAAGTACACATCAGATACAATCCATTCTCAATTGATGTTACATCAGCAATTTATCTCTTTTTTATTATTCATATAAAGCAGAAGGATTATTGCTCTGTTATTTTGGATTACAAGGAATGCATGAAACCTTATCTAAAGGGATCTGTTGGCATGGGTAAAGCACTTACGCTGGTGGAAGTCTACAGAAACCGTTGATACTGAACTTGAAGCTTCTGGGTATTGGGGACTTGTAAGATTGATCCCATCTTTCAAAAACTTTTATGACGGTCCAAATCAATAATATTTCAAGAATTTTTCCTGCACTGTTTGCCTTTTTTGTATCATTCAGTGAGCAGGGAGTGAGCCTTGGGACTCTGTGCTCCTTCCTCCTCTTGCTTTCTGCCTTCACATGCTAGTCCTTGTTAGCTTAAACTGCAATTGGCTATTGTTGTCCATTAAACTGTGGTTTAATGTCAGTTTTACTATCCAAGATCTTTATTTCATAGCTTTCATACACCACTTGATTGTAAAATAAATAAATAACCCTCAAAGTGGTCTACAAAAAGATAAAACAATGTAATCAAGAAATGTCTACAACCTTATTTAAAAGGTAAAGGGACCCCTGACCATTAGGTCCAGTCATGACCAACTCTGGGGTTGCGGCACTCATCTCGCTTTATTGGTCGAGGGAGCTGCCGTACAGCTTCTGGGTTATGTGGTCAGCATGACTAAGCCACTTCTGGCGAACCAGAGCAGCGCACGGAAACGGCGTTTACCTTCCTGCCGGAGTGGTACCTATTTATCTACTTGCACTCTGATGTGCTTTTGAATTGCTAGGGTGGCAGGAGCAGGGACCAAGTAACGGGACCTCACCCCGTTGCGGGGATTCGAACCGCCGACCTTCTGATCGGCAAGTCCTAGGCTCTGTGGTTTAACCCACAGTGCCACCCGCGTCCCACAACCTTATTTACAAACAAACAAAAGTTAAAATATTAAGAGATTGAAATTACCCCAACTTTCTAAGCAGCTGGGAAGTAGGCTTGTTTAAACAGGAATGTTTTTTGCAGATGCCAAAAAGAGTACAGTGACGGCCCCTCCTTGATCTCAGTAGGCAGGTAATTCCAAAGTGTAGGTGCTGCCACACTAAATGAACAAGTTCTTACAAATGTGGAATGGGTGTTATGTTGCACCTGTAGTAGTGCCAATTCTGCCGATTGAAGCAGTGAAGTGGACACATGTGGAGTAAGGCGATCTCATAGGCAAACTCGTACTCAAGTTGTTAAGGGCTTTAAAGCATGCTTTGAATGTGGTATAATATCCTGGACAATAAACTGATGTTAAATCATAGTTCCATATCTCAAACATAACAGGAAACTGTCGTTTAAGTGAACCAGGATCAGTGTGCAAAGGCAACACATGAAAGTGGGGAACACATTAAAACAGTACTTGTTTCTAGCTTGCTAAACTATGGTTTGGTTCTCAAATCAGTTCTTTATTTGTTTATACCTGTAGCTACTGAGAGCTGTTTCAGTGGTGGTGCCCCAAGTTGTGAATTATCCTCCCTAGAGGGAAATGCTTAGAACCTACGCTGTAGTCTTGTGTTAGGTGCTGACCTTTTAAATTGATCCCAGAGTTTTAAGATGTGTTTTAGTGGTTACACTGCCATTACCCCATGTTGGTTTTATTCTGTGATATATTGTTCTGTTTAAAATTATGTATTGTTCTATTTTCATGGTTTTATAAACCGTCCAGAGAACTTTGGTTATTGGGTGATAGCAACTGAAGTAGAAAATAAATGGAATGCTTAAGAATGAAAAGGAAATGTACCGTATATTTGATATATTGTTTCTTGGGCATTTGTCAATCCGAAGAGCATGTTCCAGTGTCCAAAACATGATCCTTAATTGATGCTTTTGTTTTCTTGTAGTTGGCTGTGGAGTTGGTGAACGGGCATATGCAAGGACGGCTGAAGCCCCTCCTAAGGATTTGAGTCCCCCTGTCATTGCAGCCACTGGATCGGCATCAATAGAGGTGAAATGGTCACCACCTAGAAAACCCAATGGAATAATTAGAAACTACTTTGTTTACAGGTAGCTTTGGTTGTTGTTGATTTTTTTTACCCTACTCAGATGCTCAATATAGAAACTACAGTAGCCCCACCTTGAAGTTTTATTCAGCTCCAATAATGTTTAAATTATCTTCCCAAGTGTGTACGTTGGATAGCATGGGGAAATCCACACCAGTGTTTTTGGCATGAAAAAGGGTATCCCACCCCTTGGCCTAGAGTGGAGAAGGAATTGGGCTAAGTGTGATTTCTACTGTCACTACAATATTATGGCTGTGGGTGGTGCTGTGTTCTAAACCACCACTGAGCCTCTTGGGCTTGTTAATCAGAAGGTTGGCAGTTCGAATCCCCACAACGGGGTGAGTTCCCATTGCTCTGTCCTAGCTCCTGCCAACCTAGCAGTTCAAAAGCACGCCAGTGTGAGTAGATAAATAGGTACCATTGCAGCGGGAAGGTAAACATCGTTTCCATGCACTCTGGTTTCCATCACAGTGTTCCATTGTGCCAGAGGTGGTTTAGTCATGCTGGCCACATGGCCCAGAAAGGTGTCTGTGGACTCCCTTGGCCTGAAAGTGAGATCAGCGTCACAACCCCATAGTCACCTTTGACTGGACTTAACCTTCCATGGGTCCTTTACTTTTTACCTATGGTCTGGCAACCTTAAGGTTGTCAAGAAACCAAAGGCCAAGAAGTCATAGATAGGAAACATAGAAACACAGAAAGTTGGATTGGCCCATCCAGCTCAGTATGATCTACGCTGAATGGCTGCAACTCTCTGGGGTTTGACCTATTAAACTGAGGATTGAACCTGACACCTTCTGCATGAGAAGCGTTTGGCCTGCCACTGAGCTACGACTCTTTCCCAATGGTAGCTGTGGATCTAAATTCATATCTTTCATTGAACTTGCCAGCCAATTCTTTGACTTAAGGTTCCTAGGAGTCTATAAAATTCTGGTTCTCCTGGAAAATTTTCACCTGCTAATTGTATGGCCAAACACATCAAACCCCTCCTCTGTATAAAGAGAAATAAAGTATTTCTTATAGTCCAAGACAAGGCTTCACTCTGCTGGTTTTGTAAATAAAGCTGATGATTACAGCTGCAATTCCACAGCAGCCAGAGAAAGGGAAAACAGGAAATATAATGCAGAAAGTGGAAAATACTGTAAATTGAATTTGACAGCATTTGATGGCATTTGATTATTCTAGTCACAGCCAAACAATGATATAAAGAGTAATATGAAACAGAATGTGTTACTGCCTAGCAGACTCGAAAGCAATAAACCTTCCTCCAATGTGACACAATCACTTCACAATCATAATTGTAGCCTGTTTGATACCTCTGAGTACAGGAGAAGGGCACTGACTGACATAGATACATTTTGTTTTTTATTTAAAGTGAAATGAAAATGGCGCACTGGGGCTCCAGATACAATCGTTATATTCACCTACATAGGCATGAATCACTTGGCAGTTATTTCAGCTGAAGTTTAAATGTGCTTAGACAACAACAATATCACATCTTTCTCAGATAGCTGTGGAAAAAATCAGAAATTTGTAAGGGCAGGAATGGGATGTAAGCACAGAGTTCCCCCCCTTTTTTTTTTGCATGTGATACCCACACATAGCCTTAGACTGTTATAGCAAGAAGTCTGCAGTATTTCTGGAGGATGTTATGGTATGTAATTTCTTTTTCATCATTTGCTGCCACTGCCTTGCTGTCATATGTACACCAAACTAAATTTATTTAACCTGCAAGTGGTAGGCAGCTTTTCATTAAGCCTGATGGATATATATTTGCAAGGGTTTGGAGTTCTGTGCTGACCTTCTTGCAATCCTCACCCAACCCCAAACCTTTGTTATATAAGTTTTTAGAACAAAACTGGAGGGAGGGAGGTATAGCAATATTTATTCATTCATTTTGTGTTTCTATGCCACTGCACACACAAACACACACACACACACGCACACACAAATATCAGTAACAATGCAATATAATAAAACAATAAAAGCAGTAAAAATAAATTCCCCTCTAGCAGAGGAAGAAATCAAACCAGTTGACAGAACTGATAAACCAATAAATCACAAATAAACATTGGGTGTCCAGGTTTTTGAACCACAAATTATTTAAGAGGCCTCAGTAAATAAAAAAAGACCTTTGCCTTGCTCTGAAAAGACCATAAAGAAGGAGCAAAGATTGCCTCTTTGAGGAAACTACTCCACAGGCAGAGTGCCCTTTTATGAATGTATTTACTTGATTTGCTTTCCCTTACTCTGATGATAATAACTGAGTAGGTTGTGGGGGAGTAATTCAGTTGGATACTGAATGCATGAAGCTCCCTGGATGGCAAGAGGACTGCAGAGTACAGCAGGAAGGCATGAAGTGGTATGCAGATTTTAGGGTGCCCTAAAGTGAGGAGCCCTAGTCAGTTGCCCAGTTTGCCTTCCACTAAAGTCTCCACTTCAAGCTATGTAGCTATGTTCTTGGCTATAAAGTTTGCCCTGATAAACATTACTCTTTAAACACCTTTAAATGGGTGAAGGCATCAAGCTATAATATGCAGGTTCAGTGACAGTTAGCAGTTCCTGAGAAGGGCATCTTTCTCTTGTGCTTTTCTCTCTGTGTGGGAGAAAATCTTCCATTTAAATGAGCAGCTGAATTCTAAATCTTCAGGCTGTTGAAATGACTAGAGACTGTTCAGCCACTTCTGCTCGGAGTTTATTCATACATGAGGATATTCTCCTTTTAGCACTACAGATGGAACCATTTACCTAACCATAAGTTTCTTTCATTAAATATTCAACAGTAATAAGATCTAAACACTTTAACCAGACTACATTGTTCGGCTTTGCTTGTGGAAGTGCTCACGGTTGGTGGCATATTTGATCTATCAGGGAGAGAAGCTGTTTATCACAGATTTTCCACGTTACTAAACAGTAATTTGTGAACCCAACAAACAGCTATGGTGGCTGTTTTTTGTGTGATTTTTTGTGATTGACATATTTTTGTAACTCAATAGGAGGGCATTTAATGCAAAACTCTGCACAAGTGTGCCCTATGCTTCTGGCAACTAATATTTTAATTAATTTATTATATTTACTCTTACATTTATGTCCCACATTTCTTCCAAGCAATTCACAGGGGCATAGATGGTTTCTCTTCTTCCCATTTTATCCTCACAACTCTGTGAAGTACATTAGACTGAGAGATGGTGACTGGCCCCAAGCTTTAGGACTGAATGGGGCTTTGAATGCTCCCAGGTCCTAGTACAACACTCTAACCACTATAAAACATGGTGCATTTTACCATAAAGCCCATTGCACCTTGAAAATTCTACCTCCCTCCAAAATTAAAAAGCTGCTAGTCCCCAGTGATACAAGTGATTTGCATGAAATCATGATGTCAATCTTTGGGTAAAGGTGCAGAATCTGGAAACCTAGTAGCGACAGTTGAATTTCTACAAGGCTCTTTCCTCAAACTTCCATTAAACTCACTTAGCCCAACAGTCAGTTGGGCTGAGGTAGGGTGCCCAGAAAAGGCCCTTCCGTGGCAATCAGTCTTCTGGCACTTTTGCAAAAAACTAGCATGGGACATATTGATGGTTGCTTTAGCTCACCTCCCACACACTTCTCCCTACCCTGAACCACTGTGATTGAGACCACAAGCTTAACATGAGTCAACAATGTGATGGAACAGCAAAAGAAAAGAAAAAAAGAAAGAAAAGAAAAGAAAGCTAATTCTATTCTAGGTTGCATCAACAGAAGTATAGTGTCCTGATCATGGGAAGTCAATGTCCCACTCTATTTCACATTGGTCAGACCACACTGCGAGTACTGTGTACACTTCTGGGCAACACAGTTTAAGAAGAATATTAACAAGCTGGAACATGTCCAGATGAAGGCAGCCAAGATGACCAGGGTTGTGAAACCAAGCCTTATGGGGAACAGCTGAGGGAGTATATTTAGCCTGGAAAAGAGGAGATGGAGAGATATGGCAGCCATCTTCAGATGTCTAAAGGGCTGCCACACGGAAGATGGAGCAAACTTTTTTTCTCCTGCTCCAGAGGCTAGGACCCGAACCAGTGGCTTCAAGTTAAAAGAAAGGTGATTCCAACTAAACACCAGGATGAACTTTCTGGCAGTAAGAGTTGTTCGACAGTGGATCAGACTCTCTCAGGAGGTAGTAAACTCTACTTCACTGAAGGTTTTTAAGCAGAGTTAGATGGCCATCTGTCGTGAATCCTTTAGCTGAGATTCCTGCATTGCTGGGGATTGGACTAAGGATCCTTGGGGTCCCTTCCAACTCTACAGTTCTATGATTTTATACTGTGCTTTGACTTTATTGCACTTGTGTTATTACATGCATGTGTTGGCCCATGTACATATTCTGCTTTTCCTTATGCAGTACCAAGTCAAACAATGACCAAGTCAACTCTTACCACCAACTTAGCACAAAACAAAAACCACTGCTTCCCGTAAATACGGTATGTCATGACTTTAAAAACAGTTGCTACAGGTTTTGCTACAGGTATTGAAACAACCAAATTTGACAATAGGTAAAGATTTGTACAGGGACGCGGGTGGCGCTGTGGGTAAAAGCCTCAGCGCCTAGGGCTTGCCGATCAAAAGGTCGGCGGTTCAAATCCCCGCGGCGGGGTGCGCTCCCGCTGCTCGGTCCCAGCGCCTGCCAACCTAGCAGTTCGAAAGCACCCCCGGGTGCAAGTAGATAAATAGGGACCGCTTACTAGCGGGAAGGTAAACAGCGTTTCCGTGTGCGGCTCTGGCTCGCCAGAGCAGCGATGTCACGCTGGCCACGTGACCCGGAAGTGTCTTCGGACAGCGCTGGCCCCCGGCCTCTTGAGTGAGATGGGCGCACAACCCCAGAGTCTGTCAAGACTGGCCCGTACGGGCAGGGGTACCTTTACCTTTACCTTTTAAAGATTTGTACATGCGAAAGAAAAAGTCCATTGTTCATAGGGCGGGATCATGACACCTGCCTAGCACCTGAGCTGATTTCACACCAGCAAATGCACCATGTTTGCTGCTGCAGGTGGCACATCAGGTAATGTATTGATTTGGTGTAATAAGTATGTGCATTGTTAATGATAAAAACTGAACTATATTAGACTATAGTCATTTTAAAGTTTGTACTTCAGCATCAGATGATCTCTTATTTATTAGTGGCTATAAAAGTTATTTACAGGTGATTTTTGTATGACTTTCAGACGTCCAGTGGGTACTCGAGAGGAACTGCTTATATTCATCTGGTCTGAAGGTGCTTTAGAATTCATTGATGCTACAGATGTCCTTCAGCCGTTCACGGAGTATGAATACCGCATTAGGGCACAGAATTCCAAGGGCTCTGTGGATAGTCTGTGGTCTTCAACACAAACTCTAGAAGCCCCACCTTGGGGCATGAAAGTTCCCTGGGGCCAAGCTTTAAGCGCTTACTCTGTGCTCCTAAATTGGACCGAACCCACTTCTCCTAACGGTGCCATTTCTCAATATCGTGTCGTCTATCAAGAGAGACAGAGTGACCCAACATTTAACACGCCAGCTGTTACTGCATTAACTGTATCGGTAAGTGTTAGATAATCAGCCAACGTGAAGGAGTCATTTTTAGAAACGCATGCAGTTTCCTTTTCTGACCTCATTTGTGGTTTAGAAGTGCATATTAGGGCTGTCGGCCATTTCAAGAAAGATTGCATGTTTCTGGTTGCAATACTTATTTGTTTATAAAAAAGATATTTATATAATGCTACAGCATAAAAAAAATCAAAGTGGTTTACAATAATATCTCTCTATAAGAAAAACACATAAAAATTCAATCACACAAACTATGGTTAGTCAGACAAACCATTGGTCATAGTTGATTAATCAGTTATATGTATATATGAATAACAACAATAGTTCTGAAGCAAACAAGGATACTTTGTTTTTCGTTGATGTGCACATACATCATAGTGGTCACTATCTTAGAAAAAGCTCTTGTATGGGAGAAAATCCAGGGATTTTTCTTTTTTAATGGCATTTGCTATCCCCAGTTTCCTGCCTCTCATGCGTTGAAAGTATTTGTATTAAAATGTGTTGCCCAATTAATTGGAAGCACCTTTTTAGTCTATAAAAAATGAATTGATTAATAGATTAAGTGTTGTAGTCCTAAAATATTTACATGGTGCAATCCTTAGTTGCCCTGTACGCTAATAATGGATGATTCACATGCAACAATGAGGACATCTACACATGAACAACAACCCATCACAATCCCATGCATGTTGGCTCATTAGTTCCACTGAGCATAGCAGAACTTACTAGTAAATATCCTTTGGATAGGAGACTTAAAAGTCCAAAATGAAATATAATCATAGCAAAATCAGATATATTTTTTCAACCATTCCAAGTGCATGCTGGTTTAAGCATGATAGTAAAATTAGCATTAGCTTGACTCCTATGATTTATGTTTAGTAATTAGGAAGATTTGCCTCATAACTCTTCAGAATCAGAAATAAATCAACCACCACAAAAAGAAAACGCTTTTACCAACAGTAGCACCTGGCACTCCCATACTGTAAGTTACAAACCTTGACAAATACAGGAACCTCTAATTAGATGGATACAATTTCTGCATGGAAGAAATGGCAGAACTAAGAACAAGATACAGTGTTGTGATTTTGCTGTAAATTGGCTATTTCAGCAATCGTAATGTCAAAGGAGGCGTTGGACTGGCACTGTGTTACAAATGTCTTACTTCAAAAAAAGATACTATAGAACTGGAAATGGTTCTGAAAAGGGAATCCAAAATGATCAAGGGGTTGAAGTAACTTCCCTAAGAAAAGGGTATGCTCCTTACAGGTCTTTTTTTCCTCAGGAAAAAGATAAGGAGGGATATAACGGAACTGTGTAAGATTATGTAAGTTGTGGAGAAAGTGAATGGAGTTTTGCTCCTCCCTACCTCATAATACTACAACTCAGGGACAAGTAAATGAATCTTGGAAGATTCAGGACAGACAAAATAAAGTACCGTATTTTTCGCTCTATAACACGCACCTGACCATAACACACACGTAGTTTTTAGAGGAGGAAAACAAGAAAAAAATATTCTAAACGAAACAGTGGATGTATGATTTTTGTGGTTCATGCTGTGGCCACAGACATGTGATCTGACGGTGAGTTTGGGGTAGCCCAATGCAAAAATCCTGAGGATCCATGTGGATCCATGCTTTGTAACCACGTTTTTGCGCCATTGCGGCCCCATGAAACAGTGGGTGCGTGTGATTTTTGGTGCAGGCTGTAGCCATGGTTATGCTATGTGATCTGATGGTGAATTTGGGGTGACCCAGTGCAAAAATCCTGAGGATCTATGTGGATCCATGCTTTGTAACCACGTTTTAAGTGGGGAGGGAAGGAAAAGCACTCAAGGGACAAGGAGCATGCGTGGGGGGTGTAGAGAAGGATGCTGCTAATAATGCAGGAGAGGCTCCTCTCTGGCTTTGCTCCTTTAGAACAAGCAGGTTCTGCGTCTCTCCCTCCTCCCTGGCAAGGAAACCATGATAGTAACCACTCTGAGACAAATCAAGAAAAATTGCGACCAACACTCTCCCCCAACAAGCGCAGTGAGGTCAAAACACACACACAGGCAGAGAGAGAACTGGCCCTAAAGTCGCAGGGCGCACACACACACACACACACACACACACACACACAGTGTCAATCCTAAAGTCGCAGGGGCGCTGGGAGAGTGAACGGGAAGCAGGAGGAGGAGAAGGAGCCCTCACACACACACAGACACACAGTGTCAATCCTAAAGTCGCAGGAGAGCGCAGGGGCGCAGGGAGAGTGAACGGGAAGCAGGAGGAGGAGAAGGAGCCCTCACACACACACAGACACACAGTGTCAATCCTAAAGTCGCAGGAGAGCGCAGGGGCGCAGGGAGAGTGAACGGGAAGCAGGAGGAGTAGAAGGAGCCCTCACACACACACAGACACACAGTGTCAATCCTAAAGTCGCAGGGGCGCAGGGAGAGTGAACGGGAAGCAGGAGGAGGAGGAGGAGCCCTCTCTCTCTCTCTCTCTCTCGCTCTCTCTCTCACACACACACACACACACACACACAGTGTCAATCCTAAAGTCGCAGGGGCGCTACTTCTTCACACAGTGCAGAGCTGAACTGTGGAATTCGCTCTAACAAGATGTAGTGATGGCCACCAATATGGATGGCTTTGAAAGAAGGCTAGATAGATTCATGGAGGATAAGGCTATGAGTGGCTACTAGCAATCATGGCTATGCTCTGCCCTCATGGTTGGAGGCAGTAGGCCTCTGAATACTGGTTGCTGGGAACAGCATGTGGAGAGAGTGCTGTTGACTCAGGTTCTTCTGGTGGGCTTCCCATAGGCACCTGGTTCGCCACTGTGAAAGCAGAATACTGGACGAGATGGGTCATTGGCCTGAGTGAGCAGGGCTCTTCTTATGCAAATAGAAAAATAATGTCAGGAAGCAGGCCTCAGTTGTTATTTGCCATCTGATGTATGATGTCTACTAAGCCAGCCTCAAAAAAGTCACCTATCTGCTGCCACTATGTGTTAATCTGAAGTAATGGCATGGAAAATACCAGCCCTGGGACCTGTTAGTCTTGGTTCTACCCCAATGCAGAATAATGGAGACTTTCATATATTCTAATTACATTATACAGTGTTACCTCGGGTTAAGAACTTAATTCGTTCTGGGGGTCCATTCTTAACCTGAAACTCTTCTTAACCTGAGGTACCACTTTAGCTAATGGGGCTCCTGCTGCCGCCGCGCCACCAGAGCACAATTTCTGTTCTCATCCTGAAGTAAAGTTCTTAACCCGAGGTACTATTTCTGGGTTAGTGGAATCTGTAACCTGAAGCGTATCTAACCTGAAGCGTATCTAACCCGAGGTACCACTGTATATAACTCATATAATAATGGAGACTGTCATATAGTCTAGAATTCACCTCAATATAGACTCATGTCAGATCAGAATAGGTAGCCGTCAAAATACACAGACAAAATGAATGAATGAATGAATGAATGAATAGTCCAGTAGCACCTTAGAGACCAACTGAGTTTGTTCTGGGTATAAGCTTTCGTGTGCATTCACACTTCTTCAGATTGAGGTTGATGGATGTCCATTTCATGCGGCTCAATGAAGTGCCTTCCATGATTCTAGATTCAGGTAGGTAGCCGTGTTGGTCTGATGCAGTCGAAATAAATAAAAAAAATAAAACTTAGTTGGTCTCTAAGGTGCTGCTAGACAATTTTTTAATTTATTTCGACAGAATATCATATTCTATCTTAAAATTTTCTGAATACCATATTCTGTAGGAAATATATGAGCTGTTGTTTTTTTCTTGGCTTACTTTCAACATGAGTAGATTAGCAGGGATAAGAAGTGTTCAATATTGAGGAAGAGCCTGAATTTCTTTCTCTTAATTTTTTTAAATGTTATGTACAACTCATAGCCTTCCAGCTGTTTCAATAAGTACATGCCAAGTTATATGGCAAGACTGCATATATGTTTGCTTCCCTCTAGAGATGGCATGGCCATACTTGGCCCTCCATCTGTTTTGGGACTACAATTTCCATCATCCCTGACCACTGGTCCTGTGTATGATGGGAGTTGTAGTCCCAAAACAGATGGAGGGCCATATTGCATCTGGACAATATATTAGGACCTGAAGTATCTAGAATTGCACACTTTCCCCAAAGCAAATTTATTGTTTCCCACTAGTGATCAGACACTTTAACTCTCTTGCAACAATTTAACACATACGTTTTAAAGGTTAAAGGCCAGAACTGACAAGTGGACAGTTTCTAGTTGTTTTCAAAATCATTTTCAAGTACCATTCAGCATGATGTTGAGTTTTGGAATTCCTCTCTCCAATCATGCATTGAACTGTCTTGCACATCATGCCAACAACAACAGAAAATATCCAAGATGGTTGCATTGAGGGCAATAAAATGTACCAAAATGGCTTTTTAAATAATGTTGCCACAGTATGTTTCTTTAGCAAAGGCATTTTAACGCCTTTTGAATTAGTATTTTCTTGGCACTGGAGAAACATTACCCTACAAAACCTGAAATGGAAAAATATGTCAGAAATATATGCATAAAGATCAAGTGTGGTTTAGATAGCACTGATGCATTTTACTATCTTTCTATTTTTATTTTAAAATTCTTTCACTTTTCATTTAAAAATGTGTGTTACTGTGCTAAACATTTGTCTCTGCAGAGCAAGACAGCTTCCCTGCCCACCAGATTTATTGCAAATTAATGCTTTATACTAAAGCTGTGCTTTATTTCCCTAAGTGCAGTGTAGGACACATTGAATGGAACTCTGGATTTGGGGATAGGATGTGCTGATGTAGCAAATGCAGTCCATATTGGTCTTCAGCCTATGCGGGTAGCCTACCCTCCTGTAGGAGCAGATGAAAATAATAATAGGAGCAGTGACTTTTTCTGTGCAATGTCATTTTTCTGAAGCTTCTGTTTCAGGGAACTTCTCTGAAACTTCACATTTAGTTAAATTAAATTGCTGAATTAAAAGAGACAGGGAAAC